CATGCTCAAATTTACATCCTTCACTTTTATGCTTACAATTGGGTTAGGCTTGGGCTATGTTTGACAGTATTTGAAGAATAAGCGTTTATTCTAATACATGTTTATTTTAAATAAGGACAGTATAGATATTTTCAAAACAGTGCAGCATGTCAAAATAAGTCAGAAATGAAATAAGTACTTATTAAATAAACAAAAAAAAAACTATATTCTTAATTTTTTCAAATAAGTGTTTATTCCCAAAGTGCCAACCAGTGATTGATAAGGTTTCCTATTGGTCTTAGGGGAAACTTGGGATGGAATCCTCCCTGCACTTGGGATGGGGGATAGACTATTCCTAATTTCTCGAATAAGTGTTTATTCTCAAGGTACCAACCAACTGGTTGGTAAAGTCTTCTACTGGCCGTAGAGGAGACTTGAGAGATCGAATCTTGCCTGTATTTGGGTTGGGAGATGTACTATCCCTCTCATCCGTTGTATAGCCTTCGGAAGATATTCAAAAAATAAATAAGTACTTAATTTTGGATTTATTTCAAAAACTCCAAAAGATGTGGTTCCACTCGAAATAAGTTATTATTTGAATAATTAATTTTTTAAGCATTTCTAAATTTGAGCTTGGATCAGTTCAAACCCCCAAAAGGAGTGGCTTGGACCAGTCAAAATTAGTGTGAACGCGTGCCAAAAATCAGAATACCGGTGGCGATCGTGGTGGTTTTTGAGGCACGGCAATGAACCAAATGTCAGCTTCTCATCTGCTTACGCCAGTGATGGGAATGGTCGATCGAATGGAGTTGTTGAGACCAAGTCCAATGGATTATGTATCAAATTTCTCGCAGGTCAACGATTCATTCACTGACTTTGAAAACAAGTTTGTGCGGCTAGAATATGGATTTGGCCAATCCAATCCCACTTGTTCAGAGGGGCTGTTGCACTAGGGATGGAATTGAGATCTGCTCCTCACATAACGTGTCTCATACTAATTTCACAGCTACAATTTATCATGTATTGGGAACATTTTGCCATGAGTAATAAGTTTAAGGGCACATGCTGTGAGGTCGGTGTGAAGTACACAATGTGAGGAGCAGATCTGAACTCCAAAGGATGATCATTTATGACCTGACCTGACCTGCTTGACTCCCAAATTTTTGGACCCATGTCAAATAAATCTTGGGCTTGGACAGCTGGCCGGAAAATATCATGTAGTCTAATAGAAATTGGATTTAGTGCCTATAAAATTGTATTCACACCTTTCTTACAGTACTTTTCTTCCGATCATGAGAAAATGTTCCCAATACACAACTGAAAAGGGCTGTGAGAATGAAATGAACACAATTTTGTGAGGACTGACGTTGTAATATGGATTTTTATCATATCCATTCCCACCTGTTCAAAGGGGGTGGTGTCGTGGTGATACTGCAGTTTGGAGATCAAACTCAACTTATCAAGCTAATTTGAACCTGAGGGGTGGTCAAGCTCTTATGGGTCAACTCAAGTCTTTTGTATGTATGTGTGTTGGGTTACAAAATAGGCATGACAGGGGATCAAGGATTCAAAGGGTAGGGACATAGCACTGTAGGGTGCACATGAGTTTTTCATACCTTACCATGGAGAGTTTTGAGTTAAACGGGTTTGATCATGTGTCCAAACTCAGGGTCGAGTGACCATCTTAGCCATTGAATCATTAGCACCCAATCTTTTTTTTTTTTTTTTTGGCATTTTAGTGATAAACCCGATTCCCTCATAGGGGCCATTTGAATAGCACATCACACACTAATACCCCCTCCCTAAAATCGGTGGTTGTTGGAATCGAATCTGCGACTCGGTTGGGAATAAACCAGTTAATGTACCAATAACTGAGCCACCCCTCAGTTCTAGCAAATTCAAGTCTGAAACAAACTATCAAAATGGATATTTACCTTAGGTCCCATGTAAGTCATAAAAGCAAAATCTAAATATCATATACGATTAATATATAATTACCAAGGGTTTATTTGGTTTGTAGTTGGGATCTTAATTGTGATGGTCTATTCTTATAGTTTAATTCATTCTCTCATATGGGGAATGCCATTTTATAGAAATGGGAATAGGATTTCGATTGCTTTAATCATTTCAATTAAATGATTGGACCATTCTAATTCTGATTCTAGATCCCTATTCCTACAAACCAAACAGGGACTAATAATAATAGACTTATTCATGGACTGGCTGGGATTGAACTTTTGCCAAATTTTCCTACACTGAAGATCAAGACCGAAAACAATATAAAATGAGCCTAGCCCAAAGCCCCACCCATGAACAGATCTAACACCCTATCTAAGAATAGGATGTTCTGATAAGCCACCACCTAAAGTTCATGTTGAATATTAGTTGCTGCTACAATTACTAGTCTAAATAACTATAATGATTAACCCTTACCTTTCCCTTCCTTTTCATATCTTCTCATTCAAACTAAATATAGCCTAAGTAAAATTTGTAATTTATCAATAATAGTTATAAGGACCAATTAATAGTTCAATTATTCATAAAACCTTTAATAATAAATATTATTGATTATGCATAATCAGTTCTTGTCATACCCATAATAAGGTCGAACGGGTCAGACGCCCCATGTGTATTTAAGGTGTGCATACACATACATACATATATATATATATATATAGTGTGCATAAATATATAGTTTATCAATAAATAGTATAAATATGTTTTAGATATATTATATGTATTTTTATATTTAATTTATGTTTTCTAATTCAGTTTTTAATTTTTTATTTCTAAAAAATTAAAATTTGCAATTTGAGACCAAAAAAGTTTTTTTTTTTTTGCAAAAATAGTGGGGCAAGGCGTCTACGGCTCCTTGGGGTGCATAAATCTCAAGAAGGCACCCGAAATAAAAAAAAAACCAAATCGAATATTGGATTGCAAAGTTATGGCCTCCGAAAGTTTACATGCATTGGGTATGCAAACCGCAACCCAATGACTGGGTCGAATGAGTCAATTACTAAATCGGCTGGGTCGAACGGTTTTTGACCATCTGACAGGTCTCGACTGAATCGGACCTGAAATCTTGGTCGGGTGACAATTTGGATAGTTCGACAGACCAGGTCAACGATGGGTTGGAAACCCTAACCAATATGTTGGTCTCAATATTGCTCCCCACATGATTTATAGCTGCACATAGTCTTTTTGATTCACAAAAGTGCATACCTATTGTAGGTGGGACAACAAACATGGTATAGAATTAAGCATACAAGTCAGGCAAGTTGGGTTGGATTGAAGGTCAACTCAATCCCAACCCTAGAGGTGCAAATCTAGGGCTCGAGCCTGGCCCAACTCGAGATCAACTGAAGTTTATCAACTCAGGCCTAACCCAAGTTTAACCCAACACAACTCTGGTTGGATGGTGCATAATTTAGTTGGGTTTGAAAGAATTTATGAATATATATTTTTTTATATTGTTATTTTTTATTAGGCTTCATGGCTAAATATAGGATATAAATAATTGGAAATATGTACAAATTTTATTTACAAATGCACATATACATGTATGCATTATTAGAACAAATATAGTTTTATATAAATACAATGCATGTACGCATGTATTTATTCAAATAGGTTTATGGTGGGTTGGGTTTGAGTCGCATTGGGCTTGGCTAAGGTTGGACTCAAGCTACTTGAGGCCTCAACCCAAACCCAAAGTTTAGGTTAGGCTCGAGTTATTTTTATTATTTTGCCTAGGCTCAATTCATAGCCCAAAAAATATAGGAAAAACTCAACATGGGTTGGGTCAGATTGGGGTTAGGCCCACCCAAATTGCACTCCTATATAAAATAAAGGGTAAATGTCTAAAACCTTTCCTAAAGTTTTTGGTTGTTGCTAAAACCTTCTTTGAAGTTTGTTTATTACAACCACATTGTTTGAACTTTCAGACACATATGTATAAGTAAGTCCCACTTGTTAGAAATCCTCTAATAAGAGGCACGAAAAATGTCCAAAATACCTATGCAAATACTATTGAAGCTTGTTTCTACGTAAAACAATATAGACTTTATAAACCAAAAAAAAAAAGACAAAAGAATTCAAAGTTTCAACTTTACCTCTTGAGTAGTTGATATGAAGGAAAAAATTGTAAAACAAATCAATTACAGAAAAGAGAGGAAGGGTTTGAGCTAGCGATTCATATGTAGAAAAAATTCGGAAAATAAATATTCTTATCATATTTTAGACATTTTCATTCCTCTGAATAGAGGATTCTATCAAAAAGGGATTTACTTGCAAGTTGCAACTATATGAAAAAATAAGTTTCAAAGTATTAATATATATCAGTTGATACGTATTGTGCCGATAACTTCCTGATATATCCATCTAGGGGTTAAACCAGCTCTTCTAAACCGGTTCTGAAAAAAAAATGTAAAACCTAAAAAAAACTATCGATATAGCCCATTACGCAAGTAAAAGCATATTGGCGTATCGATGTTTTGAACTTGAAAAAAAATTCAAGAGATTCCAATTATTAAACTTCAGGGAGGTTTCAGCAATTTGCCTAAGTTAAAATAACCCATCCCCAAATTCAAAGGATGACAGGAGTATAGCCCGAAAACCCTGGTTCGGGATTCGATTCCAAGTTACCATTAGAACCCGCCAAATACCTTACAAACCGAGCCAGCATGTACTTACCAAAAAGTGCACACCTGCCACCACCGGATAAAACCCTTATTTACTGCAACCCCCTTGCTTCCTTTCACAACGTGTGCACACATAGGATAATGGTATAAAATATGGGGTAACAATGTAGTACTTCGTGCTGGTAGGTTACTATCATAACGCGTTTCATTTATAGCGGTGGATAAAGTAAAAGCGACAACAAGCAATTCGCTTTTCAAATCTAAGGGACAAACTCAATGCACTGTTGTGGTAAACTTATAACGGGGCCTACATCATCATGCGCTGATGCGACGGGACGACACATGGAAGGGGTTCCAACAGTGAGGCTTGGTCGTTCGTTGCAAGTTGAATAGAGTCCTGTTTTGGTCCGGAGAGACCTTCACACCCTCTTCGTCCCTCAAACCGTCAAATACAAGGTAGAGAGAGACTAGAGAGGTTTTTGTTGTCTACGAACACAAGCGACTCTCTCTCTCTCTGAAATAGAAACAGAGAACCAGAGGCTCTTTGATGATTAAAATAGGAAGTAAAAGGAATCGTCCATCCACGGATTCGTTTCCTCTATCTGCGTTTTTCAGGTACCTTGCTCCATCGTTTCTATGGATTCTATGTTTTTCGTTTCCTTTTTTTATCTGCATTCTTTGAAATCAGGTTTCTTATGTTAGGGCTTCGGTTTTGCAGAGGTAGAGGAGGTAGAGAGGGGTGATTTTAGGGTTCTGTAGGCTGGTTTGGTTCATGGGGGAAGCTTATACAGTGGTATGGTTCTCTGTTTCTTCTTTTTGTTTTTGTTTTTTTTTTTTTTTCATTTATTTCAAGGATAAGCTGATAAAAAGGCAAATAAGCTTCCTTTTTTTTTTTTTTCTTTTTCTGGGGATAACTAGAAGACGCATTGTCTTGGTTTTTGATGGTATGTGGTGTTGAGTGCCATATTGATTCGGTTCCTTTTTTTTTTTGTTTTAATAGTTGAGAATGGTTTAGATTATATGGAATAGAAGATGGGTTCTTACGAACCTCAGATCCTGGTTGACGAACCTTTGTGCGGGTTGCCGCCAGGTTCTGGTTGCTTGTTACCGTTAGGAATAGCGGGGAAGGAATTTGGAGATTCTTTGGGTGACATTGGTAGTGTTAGTATGGGGTTGGTTGATCAATGTAGAAATTGTGAGGGGTATGACAATGTCGTATTTGATGAACATTCTCGCCTGGAAATGGCGTGTCAGTTGGTTAGTTATAATGGGAATGAAACAGGTTCATCTGTTATTGAAGGAAACTCATGCTCAGAAATAGCTTGCCCCATATCTAATTGTAACGGAGACACCATGAGTCCAGTGGATGGGATTTATGTTTCTTCTCCACAAACTTACAGTGTTAATATTGTGAATTTAAGTATTGACCAAGAAGCATCTATTATTAGAAAAGGTGGGTTAGAGGATGGATTTGCCCACAAGGATTTTTCAGTAGCTGAGAAAGCACCATGGGATGAACTAAATGTTGATGAGCTCTCTATGCAGATTGGTAAAGATTGTCAATCATCCAGCTTGGGGACTGAAAAATGTTTTGCAGGGGAAGAATCCAAATGTGATGATGCCCCAGGAAACATGGCAGAAAACGAAGAAATTTCATTGGCTTCATCATCCTGGACTGTTTTGTTAAATAAACAAGCCCAACATGGTGAGGACAAGGACACAGTGGATGTCAATGGCTCTATAGACGAAGAGGTTACTGATGCACAGAAGGTTGTGGAGGACAACTGTGATGTTTTACCCAGGGCATTGGGTGGCCTGAACACTCATGTATCTGTGGTAGAAGTGAATACATGCAATTTGAAGGAGGGGTCACTTGACATGGTTTCTGATTGTTCCGTAAAACATTTAGCTTCTCTGCATTCATGTAAACCAGCCATAGATAATGTTTCTTCTCAAGGCTTGACATTGCCAGATCTTCAGGGAAGTGATGCTATTAACAGAGCTTTAACATGTAGTAGTGTAACAGATTGTACTAAGCATGTGGACAATGGTGGAGAGCAGAATGATAAACCTGATTCTATTGTTTCTAGTCCCCAAAAGGGGGACGCACTTAGCAGTTCTCTAGCACGTTTTAGCATGATTGGTTATAATGTCCATGAAGATAATGCTAGACCTGATTCTGTTTCTGTATCCAACTGTTCTGATACTAAGGGCCTGGTTCTTCGGAGGAGCACCCGTGTAAGCAAACTGAATAGGATTTATGAGACAAGAAAGGCTGCACAACAATGCAGGAATACAGTCAATGGCATATCCCGTTCATGTGGAACCATAGGGATTTTCTTGAAGATAGCAAGAGGGAAAAGAAGCTGTCCCTGTAAACCAGCACGTTCTTCTGTTTGGGGTGCATTGGGAAATATTATACAAGTTTTCAAGCAGAATGATTTGACTTTGAAGCATGATTTTGATTTAATTCAACTTCCAAATCATGGTTCACAAAAAACAAGAGGTTGGCAAAGGAGTAAGAGGCAGAAGAAGGCTAGGGCAGGTAGAAATTCATGTGTTTCCAGAGGAAAATGCCGTACTTCAACTAGCCATGTTCATTTAAAGGTTAAAATGGGGGAAGAGGTTGGCCAAAGAAATCTACAGGCTATGCTACCCGAGATGGTAGTTCCTCCAGCATCAGTTCAAATTATTGTCTCTGAATGTCTGCCAGATTTTGACCCAAGAGTTGATCTAGGTGGCTCCAAAGCAGCTAATATGGTCCAAATGGAACATAAACTGAGGCAAAATGTGCCTAGTCTTAGACAGTTCCAATGTCCCAGTGAAAGCCTGGAAAAGTCAATTGGTCCTGTTGATATTTGTGTACTGGATGCTCACTTTGCAGATAAGGATCTGGAGAGCACTGTAACACAAGATATATCTGTTGGGAATAATGTTGGCACTGGTCATGGGGTTTCTTCTCAAATGGTGGGTGAAACAATTAAGAATGGGTACTTGGATGTGGGGACATCTCCTGATTCAGAAGTGACCAACCGGATTCATGATGCCCATGTTAGCTCAGGAGTTCAAGAAGACGTACATGCCGTAGTTTCAACTTCTTCCCAAGATGTTGCCATCCCAACAGATGTTACCGTTTCCAATATTCTTGTCATAAACACAAAAAGGGGCAAAAAAAATATAAAGATTAAAGGAGACTCACATTCACAATCAGGATATTGTGCAGAGGAAGGGACATTGCTTGGCCGAGCAAAAAAGAACAAGAACAGAAAACCATTAAAACGTAAACCCAGGCAGACAATGGGACAGAACCTTGACTCTGGTGGGATCTCTGCTTTGGAAACTGGAGAAAATGCTTCCAGTAACAGTTCAAGCATTGGGGAGTGTGCTACAGAATCGTTGCTTTTGGTGGGAGGGGTTGAACCAGGGATTTACCAAGAAACTTTCTCAGTGGAAACTGGTATAGATATTTGTCCATCTTCAGGGCAAGATGTTGGTAATAAACCATCTGAATCATTGACTTCTGAGGGATCTCTATCTGCTGCTAAAACTAAAGGGCGTAAGCTTTCTAAAATGTTCATGCCCAATGTTGGAGCGAGCAAAAGTAGGTCACATGTCCCTGCTTCATCAAGGCGTAGGAAAGTAAATAATCATGAACAGAAAGGTGCACCCAAATGTAGCAAGCGCAAGGCAAAGGAAAAGGGTCCTTTGGTTGACAAAAGTGAAATTCAGCGACAATCTGGTACAGTCATGGACCTTTCTTCAGGAACGAGAAAAGATTCAGCATGTAGTGGAGCAGCTGATTTAAGCAGTTAGTTCTTTTCTGGCACAACTATTTAATCTAATGCCTGTTTTAGTGCGTTTCTATTGTGAAAGAAACCAAGGGTTGTCTGATTTTGCAGAAATTAATGAAGGAAATGACAGAAGTGATTTAGGAAGAATCAAAATAGACGACAATATGGCACCAGAGGACATATCTAGTTCTTCCATGGTGTCCATTGGGCTCGAGGAGCAGAAAGTACCACCACGGAGTGCATGGGTGCGGTGTGATGATTGCTACAAATGGCGGTGTATACCAGCTGCACTTGCAGATGAAATAGAAGAAACAAATTGTAGATGGTAAATATTATATTCTTGTAAATTGCCTAACATGTGTGATGGATCACTAATTAGACAATCCTAACTTACATGACTATATTTTTAGTGCTATAATTATTACTTATTGTTGTCATCAGCATATATAAGGTTAACATATTATTATTTCCAATAAAAAATATATTGTTGTTCTTGTTGTTGTTACTACTACTGAAGTTGTCAATTTTCTTGCTTGGATATAAGATGCAGCCATTTTCTGTATCTTCTGATTATGGTTATTGTTGTTGTTGTTAATATTTTTTGAGGAGCTGTATAATTGGTGTATAATCTACTATATTCAAGTAAGGCCCATGCACAACGAGTTTTATAATATGGGAAACTTGTAGAGCCAATGAAAAATGGTATAGTTTGTATGTTAAGCATAGAAGGATCTCTACTCCAAAAAAAGGAGTCCTTGAACTCCTTTGAGGGTTCAATACAGCATTTAGCAATGTCTATGTTGTTAAACCCTAACAAATAGGAAAATAATATAAGAAATTAGCATATAAACACAAAATGAATATTTTAGTTTAATAATGTCTATTTTGTAATTATAATCTTAAAAAAATCAAGAATAAAAGTATTTTCTAACACAATGTACAAAACTGCTTGGCAATTAGGCGAGGCGAGCATCCAAGGGCGCCTTGTCGCCTAGGTGCCTCCTTGACAACTATGCTTGAAAGGTAAGGAAGTGCTGCTGCAAGGATTAGAAGCAATTGAATGGTTTAAGGACTTTATGACTGAAGTAAGTCTTAAAGGTAAGGAAGTAAACTGTCAGGAGTATGGTTCTGATGAAAGTAGGAGGTATTTGGTTGAGTGCAAGAAGAATGCCAAGAGGTCCTATGTAGCATTACATTAACTTTTTGTTAGGGGAAGGAAGCAGCTTGTCTGCTTCCCAGAAGGAGGAAAGGGCCAAGGCTGGAGTGAAGTTCTTGAGGTGCTAAAGGAGTTCCTGCTCTGTAGGGTAAAAACAGAAACGGAAAAATCAACAGGGCAGGAAAAGAATGCTCAGAGTAGCAGCAAAGATCCATTGCAGGAGCTGGAGCAAGAGCTTGTGTTTGCAGTGAAAAACAATGGATACTGCAAGTTGGTAGGCTATTCAAGGAGGAAAGAATGGGAGAGCAAATACATAATCCAAGCTATGAAGCAGGTTAGCGATTGGAGGGAGGTAGCAAACCTGCTGATACTGAAGCTGAAGCTAAGAGGATTGTTCATTGTTACCCCCTTTGATAGTTGCAAAGCATTACTCTATTTTGGTGATAATAAAGTAGACATCTCAGCTGTTAGTGTTCACTCGGATCTTGGAATTTTTACAGTCTCCAAATGGAGCCCATTATCCAATACTAAAGATTTTCCAGTGAACTGTCACACAAAAGGAAGGATGAGGTAGTGGAATTAGTGGAGCAATTGATAGGTAGATTCTCTGTATCCATCAAATTAGGAAGGTGGAGGATGGTTTCATTTGGGTCTTAACCAATGTTTATGGCTCGAATTACTATAAGGAAAGGAATGAATTCTAGGAGGTTGTATGCAATTCAAGGGTTGTGGGATGGCCCTTGGTGCCTAGGAGGGGAATTCAATGTGATAAGGTTTTCCGAGGAAACTAGTAACCAACACCAGTCTATTACGACTAGCATGGGGAAGTTCAATGGATTTATAGAGATAAAGGAAATCCCATTCCTTCAAGCTAGCTTTACCTGGTCTAATCTTCAAGAAAATCCTCTGTGTTCGAAACTGGACAAATTTCTTTCAACCTTCTAGCCTAGGAGAATCACTGTGGAGATTTGGTTTCTAGGGCTTTGCCTAGTGTCACATCCAATCACTGTCCTATTAAAATAGGATTGGAGTTGTTTGCTAATTGCTAGTGGACCTAGACCCTTTAGGTTTGGAAAATGTGGCTTGGTCATCCGGATTTTGTGAGTAAAGTGAAGGTTTGGTGGAATAAAGAATGGGGGGGGGGGTAAAATGGAAGGGGGTAAGATTTCATAAGAAACTATAGAGGCTAAGGTCCCAAAATAAAGGTACAGAACAAGGAGCATTTGGGAGAATTGAGGGGCAAAAAATGAGATTGATAGCTTGGATTGAGGAGATGGATAAGAGGGAACCCCAAAGAATTATTAATGTGGATGATAGATAACTGAGGAGGCAGTTGAAGAAGGATCTAGAAGATGTTTTATTTTGAAAGGAGATTTGTTGGAGGTATAGATAAAGGCATAAATGGATTAAGGAGGGTTGGGAATACATGATTTTTCCACGAGTTGGCAAATGGAAGAAGAAAACAACATTGTGACCAATATAGAAGTAGAAGGGGAGGTTGTTAATACTTAGGATGGAATAGCTAGAAAGTTCGTGGAACAATTTAAATCCATCTTTAGAAGGCCTTTGAATGAGAGATTAGTGGTGGAAGGGGTGGACTGCCCAAGGCTGGATGGTTCTACTTCTAAGTTTAACTGGTTGGAAAGGGACTTTGAAGAAGAGGAGATTAAATGGGCATTCTTTTCAATGGACAAATACAAGGCTCAAAGACTGGATGGCTTTACAATGGTCTTCTATCAAGATTGTTGGGAAGTGCTAAAAGTTGATCTATGTGATGTCTTTAAAGATTTTGTAGATAAGCACATAGTAAGCCCTGGTATAGATGCTACTTTCTTGGCTGATTAACTTGGTGACGTGTATTTACAAAATATGGCAAAGGTTCTTTCTTTGAGGATTAAGGAAGTTCTCCCCTCCATCATTAGCTAAACCCAAAGGGCTTTCATATAGGGGAGACAAAGTACTGATTAGATTTTGATTGCCAATGAGTGTGTGGAGGAAATGAGGAGGTCAAGACAAAAAGGATTTGTGTGTAAATTGTATTTGGAAAAGGCCTATGACCTGGTAGATTGTCATTTTTTATTAGAGGTAATGAGAAACTACAGTTTTGGGGGCAAGTGGTGCAGTTGGGTGTTTGATTGTATTAGTTCTTGTCATTACGTTATATTGGTTAATGGAGTGGTGAAGGACTTATTTTTAACTGGTAGGGGTGTCAAGCAAGGGGACCCCCTATCACCTTTCTTGTTCACTCTAATAGTTGATGTGTTCAATCACCTCATCTCTAAGGCTTATATGGAAAACGTCTTAGCAGATTGGAGAATAGGTAGAAACCAAATTCCGGTTTCTCGTCTTCAGTTTGCAGATGATTTGATATATATTTTTTTTTGTGATGAGGGTGACATTGAGAAGGTAGAAAATCTAAAGGACTCGATTAGAAGCTTTGAAAGAATTTCAAAACTGGGATTTAACCTTGAAAAGAGCTGCACAGTAGTCCTTAATATGGAGGGGGAGGTTGAGGCAGTTGCAGAGTGCTTAGAGTGTTCCATTTCCTCTTGGCTGTTGTCTTATCTAGGCCTTCCGTTAGTGGCAAACCCAGGGAGAGTAGATTTTGGAACCCAGTCATAGAAAAATTTGAGAAGAGGCTAGCCTCATGGAAGAAGAATTACATTTCCTTGGGTGGTAGGATAACTTTGATTAGAGCTACTCTAGCTAATTTGCCTACTTATTTCTTGTCTGTCTTTAGGATTCCTCCTAGGGAAGCAAAGAAGCTGGAGAAGTTTATGAGGGGTTCTCTGAGGGAACCGGGGGAGAGCAAGAAAAATCACTTTATTAAATGGGAGATTGTGTGTAGGAGTAAATAGGAGGGGGGCTTACTGTTAGGTATGTCCAGAAGAATTCAACATTGTTGGGGAAATGTCTGTGGCGTTGGCCTCTGGAGAGTGAGAGACTGTGGCACGAAGTAGTGGGAAGTATTTATGGTTGTTTTGAGAATGGATGGGATGCTGGTGTCTCATGGTGGGCTACTTTGGTGACACTATGGAAGGCAATTCTTAATAACCTTCTTCAGTTCCTCAGGTTTGCTAGGTATAAAGTTTTCTTGGAAACTCTGGTAGGTTTTGGGAGGATCTTTGGGTTGGAGATACCCCCTAAAGGACCTTTTTCTGTCCTTATTGTCTATCTCTTTGTAAAAATGAGGTTGTTTCAAAATTTTTTACTCCTATGACATCCCTTGAGGCACCAAATTGGGACTTTGGATTCTGTAGAGGTGTAGGGGATGAGGAAATTGCTTGTTTGCCTAACTTGTTTTGCATTGTCAGTCGAGTTTTTTTGGACTTGTCAGAGCCAGATAAACGGGTTTGGATTTCTTGGCATAAAAGGGACTTTCTCTTGTGCTTCTTTCTTTAAGTCCCTTTATCATTCTTCTCATTTCTAGCTCCTCCCTTTTAAGGAAGTTTGGTGCAAGCCTGTTTCTCTTAGGATTATGGTGTGTTGTTGGGAAGTGTTTTGTGGGAAAATAAACACCTTGGATACCCTATAGAAGTAAAGACCCTTCCTTTGCATCTCACCTAACTAGTGTATCCTTTGCAGGTCTCATGGTGGGGATTGCTATCACTTGCTAATCTCCTGCTCCTTTGCCTTAGAGTTATGGGTTTGTCTCTTCTCGTTGTTTGGGTGCAGGTGGAATATGCCAGCAGAAGTAAGCATGCTCTTTAACCTTTTTTTTTCTTCTATTTGCCTAAAAAAAGAGGAAGGGTTATGTGGGGATTGCCATGGCAACTTTGATTTGGACAGTCTGGGAAAAAGGAATGCTAGAATCTTCAGAGTAAAGGAGAGAAGCAGTCAAGAGTTAAAGGAGTGTGTGCTGAGTAGGGTAATACACTGGTTAAAGACATGGGAGTTGTTTCACAATTTCTCTGTTAATGATATTTGGAGGAATTGGCCAGCTGTAGCTAGATGTTCATTTATTTATTTATTTTTGATAGGAAACTGTTCTAGAAGTTCATTTATAAAGAATAAGTTATTGGTAAGTTGGGTACCCCATCCTGGAGGGTCTCTGAAGCTGAATTTTGATGGAGCAGTCATGGCAACCCAGGTCTCTCTGGAATGGAAGGTGCCTTGAGAAATGAATGGGGAGAGGTCATATTCTTTTACTCGGGTGGGTCCTTTAGGGATTGGGGACTCTACCAGGGAAGAAATATTAGCTGCCTTACAAGGGGTGTAATTTGCAAATCAGTTAGGACTGGAGCAACTTTGGATTGAAGGGGACAACAAGGTGGTGGTAGGGTGGTTTGAAGACAGCAAGCCGTGTGGTGGTATAAGAATGAAATCAAGAAATTTAAATGGCTGACACAAATTATGCAAGTGAGAATATAGTGGGTGGGGAGATCAGCAAATACTCCAGCTGGTTGATTAGCCAAGCAAGGGGCAAGAAAGGAACAATTGTTTTGGGCTCAGCTGTAACTTGTTAATTACTTTGTTTGTAATGTAATCCATTTGGGGGAGGCTGCAGCTCACGCCTCTCCAAGGGATGCCTGTATCAGTTTTGAATCTCTAATTTAATAAAATTCTTCAGTACTTATCAAAAATATTTATACATCTAGGCCTGCCAAGCGTTAGAATGCTGGTTTGATTCTGAGAGTGGCCACTGTGTGCAAAAAAATGCCAAAGATTTGGTTTATATCTAGTCTTCCCGTCTCAAGACCTCCAATGGCTAGGACCAACATTGGGTGATGGCCTTTTAAATATTTTTTTACGTACAAATATGAAGCTAGGTCTGGTTTGGGTTGGCCCAAGGATGAAAATATCAATATGCACTGATACCCAAAATTGGGTATCAATGCATATCAATAGACTGATACTCTTTTTTTTTTTATTGGTTTATTTTATCAGTCTCAGAGGAATGCCGTCTGTCATCCCAAACTTTCAAAATCCCTAAATCTGTTGTATATCAGTGTATCAATGACCTTGGATACGTATATGTTATGGCCAATACTTTGATCTTTGGGCGTATTGTATTGGTATTTTGATTCTTGGGTTGGCCAAGGCCTCAACCCTAAGCCAACCTGAAATTGATTCGGGTCCACACTTTTCAACCCCAATCTGAACTTCAATCTGACCCGATCCAACCTTTTTGGTTTGGTTCAGGAAATGGGCTAACCCGGCCCAAGTTGCAGCCCTACCATGCATGGGAGATTGCTCTTTATTTTGGTTTCATGTATATATATACATTTTTCTCTCTGTTTGCCCATTGTGAGATGAAGGATTCATATCAGTGTTTTCATTTACCTGTTGCTTATTATTTGAATTTTTAATCATGATTTATTTGACTGCATAGGACTTGCAAAGACAATGCAGACAAGTCATTTGCAGATTGTTCAGTTCCTCAAGAAAAGTCAAATGCGGAGATTAATGCAGAGCTGGAAATATCAGATGCCTCCTGTGAGGAAGATGCTTATGATGCACACTCAAATCCCAAGGGTTTTGAATGCAGGCAATTAATAGGTATGTGTTTTTGTTCATGGAAGCTCAGGATATTTAGTTGAGAATTGAGAGCTTCAAACAATCAAACCTAGACTTGGCTTACTCTGCAAAAAGGCCAAAGGTTAGTAGTTAGGTCTGAATCTAATCTACCCCTCCCAAGACCCCAGATAGCTGGGACCAATATTGGGTAATGGCCTTTTTTAAACATAAACTGGCTTCCTAATAATTTATTGATGTTTTCTTCTTTTTCACTTGTTTTTTCCCCATTTTTTCTTTGGTACTGTTGCAGCTCCTCAACAGGCATCGTGGGCGCTTATCAAGTCAAATTTGTTTCTGCACCGCAGCCGTAAATCCCAGACCATTGATGAGGTCTAGACCAGTTGCATCTATTACTCTGACTTAGAAATAATTTATACCTTAATGTTTTTTTGGTAGATGTAGGTGGCACTGGTATATTCATTTCAATTGAAAATGCTGTACTGATATTAAGTTGTTTAACTTCCATTTCATCCAAATGAACACAAATCCTTGAAAAATTTGCTTCCATAGCCTAATATATGGTTTCAAGTTTTGTTCAAACATCCATTTTTTGGATATAGTTCTATTTCATGGGTACTCAGAATAAAAAGTAAAAGCATGCAAAAAATAGTTATGCAAATTTTTTGGATATAGTTCTATTTCATGGGTACTCAGAATAATTGGATTCATCCAATTAAAATGGTTTTCATAAGCTTAGTAGTTTTAAGAGGAAGTCCACAATTAATTATCCACATTAGAAAATATTGAGATAATTGTTAGATTGAGCGCAAAAATGAGAGAAAGTATGTGGTAGAAATACTGATCAGAGAAGAAAGATATGTAAAAGCTATGTAACTTGGATACATACATAGCTGGACAAGGTGTCAGATATTGAATTTACACTAAAATTGATTATCTGAAATGATATGGTTTCCTTGTACAAGTATCCAGGTATCATAGTGTAGAATTGGATATGAATTACATTTCACAAGGGGAGCCCCAAAGGGGATTGGAACCAAGGAAGAGAGAGAATTGGCCTGGTGAAAAACTTGAAAATGGAATAGATGGGAAAGATTATTTGTTAGCTGGATAAACTACTGAAGCTTGGTGGCATTTTTTTTTTTTGGTTAATCCTGAAGCTTGGTGGCATTTCTCGAGTAATTATCAATTCATAATTGAAGGAAACCTTTTAGCTGTTTTATAACATCTCCTTGCTCGTCTCTTTATAGATTCACTTGATAAACCCATTAATCTTTCTTCTCCTTCTGTTATACCTAAATACAAGAGCTTGGGTGTAATACAACAGGCGACACACTGATGGATCCCTATACAACCTAATAGGGGGGCTTCGGAAAGAGAAGAAGCAAGGCAGGAAGCATCGAATGCAAACAAACCGGGTGAACTGACTGATCTGATGGACCCTTTTTGAGTAGAGAAATGATGGAACACTGCCTTCTTTTTCTTTTTTTTTGATAAGAACACTGCCTTCTTTTTTCAGAAGCTTGGGATGTTCTTATCTAGTCAGGCCAGAGTGATGGGATCTCTTGGAAAGAGGGTCCAAAATGGAAGTTCTTTGTAAGATGTTCTGAAAGATGGAGTCCTGACGGTTGTTTGAGTCAGGATTTATTTGGGTAAATGTTTTCCTCCTTGGGTGGAAGCATTTAGCGTAGCTGGCATTCCTTGATAAGGTGCTAACAGTTGACCACCTTAACAGAAGGCGGATGCAAAACTGTGAAATGTGCAAAGCAGCTTATGAGTTTGTTAAATCTTTTCCTCTTCTATCCAGGCGCTTGTTCCTAGAGTTCTTTCATTCTCTGGCTTGCCCTTTTTCTGATAACGATTTCTTGCTCTTGCCCTTCTACAAGGGATGTGATTTGGTTCTGGCCAACTATCCCGATTGTTAATTTGGGGCTATTCTTTGATCCATGGTTCCATATGTGATTTACTTGGCTCCAGTAGAACAGATGGTATCATTCTTTTGGTAAACAACAGAAAGTTATATTGCTTTAAAAAATTTGGACCTACTCCATACATCTCAAGTAAAACTATAAATGCAGGAGGTCATAGCAACCAGCAACATGCTGATTACATCCTTAAGGATCCAGAAGAACAATTCTAAATACAAAAACCTTGACAAAGAACACCAGAAACTAAGGGTTTTCCTTAGTGACTCAGTTGCTGGCTAAAGCATTTGCATAACTTTTTGCAGCTCTAGGGGTCCACCTGAATGAGCATTCTGAATAAGCAAAGCATCTCTCCTGCAGTCCTTCCTTGATAATTTGTGGCTGAGACATTCTTCTTTGAAGGCAATGTGGAGTCTTGGTGGAATGATTGGGTGACACGTGATGAAAGGGATTTAAATTCTGGAAGAAATTGAGTAATTTCAAAAGGAAATTGAAGAGTGGAATAAAGAGATATTTGGACCTATCAATTGAGGAAAGAAACATTTGGGTGAAAAAGAGGCATCAGGATGTGTGATGGAGGAAAGGAGTCAAAGATGGGAGTTAAAAAGGAATTTGAGTTGTTGGCGAAAAAGGAGGAAAATAGTTGGAGGCAAAAGTCAACATGTAAGCGGAAAGGATTTTATACCTTTTAACCCCTGGAGCAATCTGTTGGTCTTTATAGCGGGGGTGAAACAGCAGGATCTTTGAAGGGAAGAAATTGTGGTTTAATGCATTAACTGGGAAGGTGGAAAGGCTTGTTATTATGTGGGCTTGTATCAACAAAGAGTTTTTTGGAGTTTCATTTCAGGTGTGAAGTGATCATTGGAATAGCATTCTGTGGGATAATGAATTTGTAGTATAATACATTTTTGTAAACATCATACACATATAAAGGGAGTTCATCATGTAATTATTTTGGGGAAAACTCTCCGTCTTTTAATATAATACAATTCATATTACCTTTCAAAAAACAAAACAATCAAGATGTAAGTGAACCAAAGAAGGAGTTGGGAACATAAAATACTTTCACTCATTGGCCAATGGTAGGAATAAGAAGAATTTTGTATTAAGGTTGATGGTGGATGAGGTGGATATTACTCAACAAGTGGAGGTTGCTATGGCATATGCTTTTGTTTTTTGAGTGTTAATTACTAGTTCATTTGTTGTGCACTTTAAAGCATTATATGGAAGCCTTCCCTTGCAATGTATTGAAGTGGATGGTCTTGAATGACCTAGATTGAATAGTAAAATGATTGAGAATTTAGAGAAGCCCTTAGAGTTGGAAGAAATAAAAATTGCAATTTTCTCAATGCCAAGGGTTAAAGCTCTTGGTCCAGATGTTTTTTTCAATGGCAATCTACTAGGATTGTTAGATTGGGGGGCTATAGCTGTTGCAATCTATCTTCTAGAAGATGAGGCAGCTATCGCCCCCCAAGCTCTGAAAAAATCATCAATCTTAAAATGGCTGAGAACAATATGAAGGTCTTAATTTTTTTTTTGTTGAATAACAGAGAATTTTCATTAGAGATAATAGAGAGTAGTACAAAATAGAAGGGGGGAGGTAAGCCATCTTAACCCTCCCATAGGGAAAAGAACAAACAAATTAGAATATTGCCCAAAATATTTGGTCCCTTCCCTCCCCTTGCTTTGCAAGAGTATCTGCATATGAGTTGTCTCTCTTTACCCACTTTATCTGAATTTCCAAATCTTGTGCTAACTGATTAAACAGTCTTTTTTCATTAGCAAACTTCCATAGACCACTATCTTCTTTTTGCAGCCAGCCAATAACTAGCTTTGAATCCCCTTCAACAATAAGTTTGCGACAGTTCAATTCCTTAGCCTTCTTCATACCTTCCATCACAGCCAAGATCTCAGCCTGGAGTGAGTCACCAATACCAATAGGACCAGAATATGGAGCAATGACTTTTCCTTCTGCATCTCTAAAGGCTCCACCTATGCCCGCTGGCCCCAGATTACCTTCACTACTACCATCAAAGTTCAGTTTGACATACCCAGGGGCTGGTGGAGACAAAAGGGGAGTAATCTTGGTCTTTGCAGGGGCTGAATCTGCCACCTCGTTCCAATTTCTTCTGATCATATTGGTGGAAATACCTTCAAACGATTCTAGAGACTGCGCCCACTGTGCCATTCTAGTAGTGACTGCCTCAATGGCTTCCTTACTCCTTTCCTTATCAGAGAATGTTCTTGAGTTCCTTTCTTCCCAAACAGTCCAGCAAATAGCATCCTAACACACTTCCGTAGAGTCTTTGTAAACTCSGGGGGGGGGGGGGTCCACCTGCAATCAAGCAAAGAGAGAAACCAAATCCAAATATCTGGAACAAAAGGGCAGGATATTAATAAGTGATAGCAGTTTTCACCATTAGCCTTACAAACCAGTTAGGAGACAAGCATCAATTGGGTCTTTTTCTTTGGAGCAAGTCACAAGTGTTACACCTTCCCAAGGCTTCCCAGCAAAAAGCCCCAATCCTAGGAGGAATCAGTTTACCCCATACTTCGAGGACTGGAAAATTATTCCCCAGGCTAAGGCTGCACTAAGGCTTCGAAAAATGAGGCACAAGAGAACATGCCAGAGGAAGTTAGAGTCCAAATCTTGCTATCCCCTCGCCCTGGTTCCAAAACCACCCCACCCAAGATCTAAATTAGAGTCAAAACAGAAAGGACTTCAGAATCCCTAAAGCCCTTTCTAAAATCCATGTCCCAATCAAAGCCAGAATCTGATTCTGAGGGAACCAGAAAAGTGGACATCGACTCATCTTTAAAGGAATAAAGGGAGTACAAAGAGGGGAATTGCTCCTTCAAGCATACATCCCCACCCATTCGTGTTCCCAAAATTTCACCCAATTGCCAGAACAAAGGTCATACCTGATATAAGCCAAAAAGGAAGGAAGAATAGCATGGATAGACCTCCAAGGAGAAGCTCGTGTAGCCCTAGCCAGGATTCCAGCATCAATCAGTTTAATGATTTCCTTTTCTTGAGCCATTGATAAAAAAAATCTACTAGGATTGTTTGGAGGTCATAAAGGATGTTATGATGGAGGTCTTTAGAGTTTTTTCTTGTTCTTTTTTTTGGTATCATTCGTCATTTGTGTGGGTGCAAATGTGCCTTTTGTGGCATTGACACTAGAGAATAGCAAAATAGTGCACCCTAAAGAATTTAGACCCATTAGCTTGGTAGGCAGCCTTTATAAAATAATATCTAAAGTCTTCTCACTTAGGCTTGGAGATGTCTTGCCATCCATCATTTCTCAGTTTTAAGGGACTTTTGTTGAAGGCAAATTATGGAAGAAATTGTGATAGACAATTGGTGTGTAGAGGACTTCATGAGGAGGGAGAAAAAGGATAGTTATGCAAATTAGACTTAGAAAAGACCTACAGTATGGTGGATTGTCCATTTTTAGAGATGGTTATGAAGATGATTGGGTTTTAAGACAAGGTGGAGAAAATGGGTCATGCGATGTTTGAAGTCTTGTCATCATTCGATTCTAATTAATGGAGTAGCAGGAGATTTCTTTCTTAACAAGAGAAGAATTAGATAAGGTGACCCATTATCACTATTTCTATTATCATAGTAGATGTTTTGATTTGATTCATCTCTAAAGTGGACAGTGTGGACCTTTTAAGGGGTTGGAGGGTTCGGAGGGGAAATGTTTGTGCCAATATTATCATTTTCTATTTAAATAGTTGGGTTGGAGGAGTAGAAAGGTTACAATCTTTTTTTTTTTTTTTTTGAGTAAAAGGTAAAGGTATTATATCCATTTCTTCAAACATTAAAGGATGTACAAGTATAGGCATGTACAGTGGGCCACTATGCATAAATAAAAGTGATGCAGGTTTCCTGCTAACTATTACAAAAACAAAATAGCAGGAAGAAAATAGTTCTGATGGGGAACATCTCTAAAGAGATCTGTTGCAGCCAACCAAGAATGAATGGTACCAAGGATCTTTTTAAGGAGTTCTTCTATTGAACCACATTGTGCCTTGAATATTTCTTATTTTTTCCTTACTATCTTGAGTAATTTTTTTTTGAAAGGCTCACAAATTTGAAGGTCAACTGAGGAGAGTAGCTTTTAGGTGAAGTGTTTGCTTGATAAAGGTGAGGAGGAGGGGGATAATATTTCAAGAAATTGGGGTTGTCTACATGAATCATCATCATAATCTAAGGCTTGTCCCAACTATATGGGGTTGGCTACATGAATCCTGTTTTGCCAATTTAGGGGTGGATCTGGGTTGTTGACTAAAGAACATGGTAAACTTAATATGAAAGAACTCTAATGTAAGTGTTGTGTGAGAATGGTGCAATTGCCAAAATGGGTATGTGAATTAATGCATAGAAAACCCAAATACTGAGTCATTTCTTGGATGCTTTCTCTTGACTTGGGGGTGGCTTGCCTGGGGATGCCCCTTGCAAGAAGTTTCAGAAAGGTGAACAAAAGGAAAGCATAGAAAGACTTTTGTCGACAGGTGAAATTGCTTGAGCAAATGATTAGTAACTATGACAGTTCTTCAGTTGCGTCCCCTTCTCTAGGTAACATTAAGAGGGAATGTTTGGATTTGAGGAGTTAACTCCTACTGTTAGCCTGGAAGTGAAACCTCAGGAGCCATCATCTGACAATGCCCTATCATCTTCTATGCTCTTCTTTTTTCTTCTGAATGCTTTTTTTAATCTACTATTCAGAAAGGTAGAAAAGAGTGGTCAGCTCGAGTTGTTCTCATCTTGTCTTTTTTTTTTTTAAATTTCCTTTTGGACCTTGCTGCTTTTTTTCCTCTCTATGTGTGTACTTTCTATTTTGATCTAGTTACCTTTAAGCAAAAGCTACATCATACCCATTAATCATATATTATTAATTTTCACCTTACATTCTAATATCTTAGCTTTATTTATTTTCAATTAGATAATGGTTTGCCACTGCAAGCCACCTCCAGATGGTAATTTGGGTTGTGGAGATGAATGTTTGAACCGGATGCTCAACATTGAATGTGTTCAAGGGACCTGCCCATGTGGAGACCAGTGTTCAAATCAACAGGTCCTTTAGCTGTTATTACTCCATTATCAGTGATGTTATTACTATTACTATTGTTTATATCATCATCATCATCATCATCATCATTACTATTACTTTTTTTTTTCTTAATTCCTTATTTTTTTGCCTAAATGGTTAACGTTACATTTGATGTTTGCAGTTCCAGAAACAAAAGTATGCGAAATTTAAGTGGTTTCGCTGTGGCAAAAAAGGATATGGGCTTCAGTTGCTGGAAAATGTTTATCAGGGGCAATTTCTTATAGAATATGTAGGAGAGGTAATTCCACAGTTGTTAAGGTGCTCGCTTTTATCTTTAGTGTTTATGTAATATATATTTTTTTGATCAGCAGGGTTTATATAATACTTAAAACCAGAAAGCTAAAAAAGACTATTAAAAAAAGAATGCTAAAACGGGAAGAACAGAGCAAATGGTGGTGTAAGAACTTTAAGACAACTGAGTTAGTGAACTCTAATACAGTTGAATTAGTTATTTTATGTTGATTTGCGTAAGATTTATGTTATTTGTGTTTAAACTATCCTCTTAAGTAAGTCAGTTAAACCAAGCCGTTATGGAGATTCTTTCTTCATCCTTTAGTTTCTGGTTTATAATTGCTATTAAACAATGAACTGGAAAAAGGAAACTCTTTGCTGAATGAAATCTTCTCTATGGAATACATGAAAATCAATTTATATTGATAGCTCTTACCCGTCTGGGACTTGCAAGGCTTATTGGTATTGGTCCATTACTATTGATGTTTGAGACCTCACAATATTTTAAGTTTGTCTATGTGCATTAGTTGTTGTTTTCGGGACCAATTGGAGAGGGAGATTCATTGAGAGCGGAGGTGATGGGTTACTTCAAGGTGTAGGATACGCCAAACAATTGGGGTTGCATCAAATTAAGATTAAAGGGAACTCTAGTTGCTAATTGGTTTGATGTAGTCAGGTTGCTTGGGATCATGGAAATGTCGACAGTGTAACGAGGGAGATTGGTATCTGTTTCAAGTGGACAAGGTCAACTAACGGGCTAGCGGTTACTTTAGCAAAACAAGGGCTGTAAGGGAGAACATATTTTGGGAAGTGTTGTAATTAGCATGGTTTTGAAAACTGGACCAGACCAGATGGTCGGACCATCCGGTCCAGTTGACCTGGGAACTAGTCAGGAAACTGGTTCCATTTCTCCCCAAAACCGCTCTTGGGCCAAAAACTGTTGATTTGGCCAGCAACCCGCTTAATGCTGGAGCTGAAGAATCAAATTTGGAATTTTCTGAAATTTTCTGTATTTCTGTATATTTGGACAGTATGGGTATTTTTGTCATTTTAACTAGTCCTGTGTAGGCCTGGGCTATAACATCTTGTTCCTCTAGTTTAGTAGGGATTGTCTTTCAATTTTCAATTTATTTGCATTAGTAGATAAAAAGCTATTGTGTACCACAAGACAAGGAGTGGCATTTTTGTAATTATGGTGAACAGTATTCCGGGCCACACAAGTCACTCTATAAATAGATGCATTCTCTTCCTTTTGAAACTAATGAATGAATGAATGAATGAAGATTTCTTTAGAGCTCTTTTTCTGTATGGAGTGATTCCTACAAACCCTAGAGTGATTCTAGGACCCCTTGGACTTGGAGTGATTCCTTGCGATTTCTCTACCCTTTCTACTCTCTCTCTCTCTCTCTCTCTCTCTCTCATTTGTCTTCTGATATTTTGTTCCAGCCCTACTGCATTACCGCTGACCCGGGCAGTCAAACTGTCGACTCAGACGATGGTTTTGGCCATATTTTGTTTTTAATTTTTAAATCAGAACGGGCCGCCCGTTCGAACTGGATGGCCAGACCGTTTGACCCAGGAATCGGTCCCCAAAATGGTTCCGTGTCCGGTCTGGTTTTTTAAACCTTGATAATTAGTATAACTTGGGTCAACACCTTATTCTTGGGGTGGACAGTTGTACTTTGAAATATATTTAATGAAGTTACTGTTTCCAATAAAAAAGATGTTTTAACTAGCACTGATATATCTTAAGGGAAATCGAATCATTAGCAAAGAAACTGAATGTTTCTCTGCTAGTATGGCTGATGGCTTAGCATGAAAGGGGTAAATTGAATTGAAATATTTAGGGTGAGGTTCCAACTTCCAATGGGAACCTGATGTAAGAAATTTGGGGTAGACTGTATCTACTGGTCTACATTCTTTCTTCTGTTCACATACTAATAAATTTTAAAAAAGTTATAACTATGTCTGTAGTCGTGTAAGATTTGGCTAAATATAATTATAGAAGGTTATTCCAAGGTTGTTACTGGGTTAAACCGATCAATTGGTTGTTAAGGAACATGAATTATAAGCTACATGTGTTTAACGTTCTGCAAATGGGGTGGTTGATAACTTAGCAAAGCAAGGGACTTTTAGAATTCAACTATATTGGGTTTGCTCATAATTTGTATATCTATTTAGAGACAGGGTAATAATCACTACAACGCCCTAGGGTGTTTGTATTGTACTATAATATTTCTGATATCTCCTAATAAAAAATTCAATTATTTATCCAAAAAAGGGTCAGATTTGGACCGATTGGATTTAGGGGTTTTGGATCCTATCAGCTTTTGGATTTAATCTGAGTCCTTGTCACCTTTTTTGAAATAAAGAATGGTGGAAAATGCAGATAAAGTAATCAGTCTTCAACTTACACATATAGAATAAATTTATATAAATATGAAATAACTAATTTATCAATTGTAAACGTTAAATGATTATATTGTTTATGCATGTGTTTATATATTTTAATTAGAGTATGATCTTAATCGGATGAAATGAGGTTGGGTCCACATCTTATCTGGCTATTAAACAGATGCAAATTTCAAAATTTGAATCCAATCCATTAATTATCAAAAAAAAAAAAGAATCCAATCCATTTATGTAAGTGGGTTTTCCAAATCTAAAATAATTGGTTTGAATCTCAGGTCAGGTATCAGACTTTTTTTTTTAATAACAAAAGGAAATTCAATAAGAAAAATGAAGAAAAAAATACAAGGCGATAATAAATCACCTAGAGTAAAAAATAAAACAAAAAACAAAAAACAAAGACAATCGGAGACCCCCACTTAGCCCTCGTTTGGGAGTGCTTATTATTGAAATAAGTGCTTAATGCACAAGTCCTTATTCCCAATAAGCACTTATAAGTGTTTGGTTAGGTGCTCTTTCAAGTGCTTATTTTGTCAATAAGCACTTTTTTAATATTGTGCATTTGGTGAGCTTCTTTTCCCATAGGTGTTATTCATTAAAAATGAAGAGTTTAACCCTCATTTGAGAGTGGCACACTTGAAAAAAAAAGAGGAAGAACGGAGAAATTAACATGGATCAAGCTTCTTGTTAGTTTTGGATTGGAAGGTTGTCCCTCTACTGCCACTGTGCTTCAGGAGATGGTGAAGTGAGGAGAGAAAAAATGGAATGAAGAGAAAACCCTATTCTTTTCGCCCAGGGATACTGTGGGTATATTGAAAAACCCTATTATTTTCTGGAATAAACACTTATTTGGCTTTTTTTACCAAACACACATTAGTGCTTATTGGTGTGGTTCCGGTCTAAAATAAGTGCTGCTAAAAGCCACCCACCTAACCCCCTTCATCTCCAACAACAATTAAATGAGCACCCACTCACTTCAACAACTTGCCTTAGCAGACCACAATACTGTTGTTCCAACGATCAAATGGACCATGAAAATCCATAGCTAACATCCATTCACTCCTCTTTATACTCTACTCCCTCTTCAATTTCTTTGAAAGCATCTTCCTCCTTTCTGGGCTCCAGCTCTGAGAAAGCTTTTCTTGCAAACTCCTCCCTACCCAGTAAAAAAAAAATCTCAGCACTTGCTTACTTTGGACCTCCACATCAATCACTTTCTCCAAATTAACGATTTTCTCAAACGGTCTTATTGATCAAATATAATTTCTATTTTGTCCTCTTGCTCCATTGAACCTTCTAAACTAATATCCTCTGGTATCAGACTTTCAAACTCCATTGACAGCCCTAGTTATAATCATATTTTTCTTCTTATCAATTTAGGTATCCATTTCTAATATAAAATTTATCCTAATATTTTCTAATTTGTTGTCCACTAGGTGCTTGATTTGCATGCTTTTGAAGCAAGACAGAGAGAGTATGCTTCTATGGGTCAAAAACATTTTTACTTCATGACATTGAATGGCAGTGAGGTTTGGCCTTCTCTACTTTTATTTAGTTTGAGTTTTCTCTTCTTGCATTTTTGGATTAATATTTTTTGTTTGCTACTCTAATTTAGTTTATTCCCTTGCAAAAAGAAATTTGAATGCTTATGTATCCTTTTTGATTGATATGCTTGTGGTTATCTTTTTGATAAAGGTGGTTAAGCTGAAATATTTTGATTTTCAGAGCAAAATAAAATTCAGTGGATATTGATAAAAAATGCAGTGAAGATAAGAAAGGGAGTAGAGAAGATGCAGCATTGTCATAGTCAAATTGGACTGGACAGTTAAACCAGTAATTTGGTGACCCAGTGAGCCTTCTGTGTCCCGGTTTTAGCAATTAAAATGCTGATTGAACCAGTAAACTAGTGCTTTGGTGAGTTTGGACTGGGTTCAAGAATGGTTTAGAAGTATATCAGTCCAGAATCTAGGCAGGACCAAACATAGAGAAAGGATCAGCTAGGCAAAGAAACTACCCTGTTAAGCCAATCCAGGAAGCACCCAGGTTTGGCAGACCATTATCCTGCCTGATACTCCATTCGCCGAACTACAGCATAAATAAAAAACAACCCTACAATGCCTTAGCAGCAAGCAGCACCATAAAATCCTCTGCCACTAGATCCCCCCTGTTTATCATTCTTTAGGACCCTTCCCTCTGGGAGGGATTAGGGTCCATCATTTCCCTGTCAAGAAGCTGCTGTATTTCCTTGGATACTCATGCAGAAGTATCTCAGTTAGATTTTGTTTTCTCACAGTTTGACTCTGCCACATATGTGCCCTATAACTAAGTTCTCTGCCTTCTAAGTCCCTAATGCAGAAATTATAAATTCATCACCTTTGAGAAATAAAAACACCCTTTTGCTGTCTTTTGGGATATGGAAGGAAGAAATAGAAGAATTTTCAAACCCAAGTCAAAACTGCTTCCAAGAAAATGTAGGGGATATTTGTTCTCTCATCATGAACTAGACCTGGATGTTGAAAGTTTAGGGACATGCATACCACCTACCTTCGAGAGTTATTAATGTCTTGTGTAAAATACCAAATAGATGTGCACAGATAATGATGTGAAATTAACCGCATTTTTACTGATAAAAAAGTTTAGGGACATGCATAAGATGGATATAAAGGTTCAATCTTCAGTGGCACATGATGGTAAGATTTTTTTTTGATAAATGATTAAACATTTTATTAATCCAGTAAATAAGAGTTACAGGCAACCCAAGGAGAGGCACAAGATGCGACCTTTTCTTTAAGATTGATCACAGCATTACAAAATCAGAAGAACATAATTACAAGGTAGCCCAAAGTAAAGAATCCCGAGAGACCCCCTGTTTAGCAAGTGAGTCGGCCATCAAGTTTGCTGATCTGCCTACCCACTGGACTCTAACTTTCATATTTCTTGTTAGCCATTTGACTTTTTTGAGGAGATCTCTATAGCCCCAATTCAGAGGTCAATGTTTTTGATATTTTTCGATGATTAGGATCACATTTAGTTTTGCTTGTATCCTTTATAGGATTGACATTTCATTAGGTGGATTTCTTCTGATCCTTATTTTGCAACTTCTTATTTTACACAAATGAGATTTATATTATCTACCAAAAATGATGAAATTCTAGTAAGGGGTGTATTCTTTCCTATCTTGAAAACTTGAGATTAGTTTTACCTGTTGGAAATGAAAAGAGAGAAATGGGACCATCCAGCCCTGAGTCACGAGACAGTTCCTTATCATCATGAACTGGCTCCTCAGAGTCTCTTGGCAAACCATTCCCACCAATCATATCAATTTATGATCATATTGATTTTTGACCATACTATAGAAGTTTTTAATAATACTTGGAACTTCATTTTTGGTTCTGATCATAAAATGAAATAATAATAGTCACCAATAGAACAAATAAAATCTGGTCCCTGAACATCAGTTTGAACAATATGAAAAGAAAAGAGAGTAGTCTTATTTTATTATTTTTTGAAAGATGAAGATATATTTCATTAGAGATAAGAAAAAGGGGAAGCAGTAACGGGAGAGGTTCCCTCCAACCAGATTACATCCAAAACCCAAGCTTTGATAGAAAAGAAGAAAACAAATTACATTGGAGATGTTCTTAGGTGGATGACTAGTTGTCCCCACTCCCAGTAATGCTCTTAGGGAGCATTGGAATCCAAATGTTAATGATGCATGTTTTAGGGAAAGACAGTCTTCTATTTAAATTAAAATTGTATGAATGTAAGGGGCCATTTGATAATGACTGAAGTGGCTGAACTGTACGACTCGGTGTTGTGTTTTTGGTGAGCAAGCCATTAAGTAGGTCATGTGTTCCTTATTGGCTTAATAGCATGCTAGTTGATTGCTATTACCACTAAATATTTTATTGCATTATTATTTTATCCACTAAAAGACAAAGCAATAAGTCATTAAATTCAGCTACTTCAGTTGTTATTAAATGGCCATTAAATAAGATGAATTGGCCTTGGAAGAAAGAGCAGTTCTTACCTCTATCTTGGTAGAAGTTTTCTGGTAATCATTCCCTAAATAGCTGCCTTGAAGCATCTGAAACCTATATTTTTATAGAGACATGTCCATCTGTACCAGAGATATTTTCTATCATCAGTCTCACATTCACTGGATTTCACAGCATCTTCAAACTTTTAGGTTCCTTCTGTTTAGTTAGAATTCATTTCCATCCTAAGTATATCAGTCTCTGCAAATATCTGAAGAAAGTATGAAGCACATTGATCTCCAGTAGCAAAATATACCTGGTTTATGCTGACCACCTTCACCTTACCAATAAAAGTCTTCCCGAGGGTCCGGATGTAGTAGGCACGTTAGGTAAGCACAATGAGTGATCACATAATAGCTGTGTGACACATGTCCCAGTTAATGTGCCTTTCATCCAAACGTTTTTGTCCCATTATATAGAAATTATGTATTATTTTATTATCTTTGTCAAAATAATTAAAAATAAAAACAATGAAAAAGGAAAACCTAAACGTGTTGGGAGTTGGGACTCATTTACGTTTTCTTTTTTCATTGTTTTTATTTTTAATTATTTTGACAAAGATAATTAAATAATGGATAATTTCTGTCTAACAGGACAAAAACATTTGGATGAAAGGCACATTAACTGGGACATGTGTCACATGGCTATTATGTGCTCACTCATTGTGCTTACCTAATGTGCCTACTACATCCTGACCCTTTTCCCGATTGGGGTTCACATGTCACATTACATTTGCTTACTCTATTGAACGAGATCACTTGTGATCCATATTTTAAAACTTGTTGCATTAAGATGGGATGCGAAAGTAGCAGATGTTGCTGTCTCTTTTTTGGAAGATGTGCTGTTCAATATGTGGCCTATCCTACTTTTATTCTCATTTTGTTTTGTTTATTTTTTTTTGTAAGATTTTTTTTTCATGTTTTGGTGTAAGAACTAAGATTTTTTTTTTTTGTTCAAACCTTGAACATGTTTCCCTTCATTTTCTTTCAAACCAAACATAGCCTAAAGGATTAAAAAGTGAATTACAAATTATACAAATTGAAATTGAAGATAAAAACAACTTATCTTCAATACTAAAATGCTTTAGCTTTACATCTGAGCCCAAAACATTTGATTCCTCCCAACCCCCTGTTTTTTCGAAGAGTCAGCCTTGCTGTTGGACATTCTTTGCACCCATTAAATTCTAATATCTATGCCCCTGGTTATCCATTTAAACCTCTTCAGTTCATTTTTGTACATCCACAAAGCATTCCCCTACAATGGAAAATACCCCAAAATGCAAATCTTGTCCATTATGATGGTACAATCTGATTGTTTCCTTGTTTTGTTGTTACTATTTTTGTTATTATTTTGCTAATTATGATCAAAGATGTTTTCTAAACCTTCATTTTTTCATTTCTATCACGTTCAGGTCATAGATGCATGTGCTAAGGGAAATTTGGGGCGTTTCATCAACCACAGTTGTGATCCTAACTGCCGCACAGAAAAGGTTATATATATTTATTCTTTTTTGTTTTACTTTTTATTCTGGTTTTTTATCTGTAATGAATAAATTTGCATTTGTACTAGGAAATGTGTCTGTGAATAAGAATAAGTAAATAACCCTGGAACTCAATACAGAAATGGATTCCACTGAGTTACAAAGGCCGGAATTGGAACCCTGTCAGCAGAAAAAGCTCACTCCTTACTGCTCTTTTTCTGTTAAGAGTTATCAGCAAACCTGTTTATTTCTATATATATTCAGATAACTTTGTCTATTCCTTCTTCTTTTTAAACTTAGAAACCTATTTGTTTTTGTTTACATAAGCCTATGTTTTCATCTCCCTTTCTCTTTTTGTGAATGTGTGTTTGCATGTTTGAGAGAGATTGAGAGTGACAAGTAAGGCATTTATTTTAAAAAATAAATAATAATGGGATGACATGTTTATTTGCTCTAAGAACATAAAATTCAATTTAAATATGATTTGTAGCAAGTGGTAAATCTGCAGCTGATTCTAAAGATACTGCTTTTAATATTGAAAATGTAAAATATCTTTCTTATTTTCGATAAAGGGAACATCTAATCAGAGATCTCTTCTTTCCATTTCTTCTTCCTCGAACCCCCTTATTCTTCCCTGGTCTTCTTGAAATGGTGGTTAATTATTTATGGAAGTGACAATAAATTAGTTGAAGAGGTAGCATCTCTATGTCTTTCTTTTCCTTCCTAAATCCTTACAATATATATTGCTGGAGGTGAATGGACATCACTGATGACTCCAATTTCAATCGACTAGCCTTCATCCAGTTACTGCACCTTGACATTCCAAAGCTTGCCCACAACTGTTGATCATCTTGTGCAAAACAAAATAAAAAATTTTCCATTCTATCAGCTTGTGCAGGTAATACAAGATTAGGGTAATGATACTTAGTTAGTTATGGATACCCATGAATGATTTCAGAGCAAACTTGACACCAATCCCTGAAAAGACATAACAAAAAAAAAAAAAAAGAAGGAAAACTACATTACAACGCACCATAATCTTTTTCTTAGATTAAAGGAGAAAAGACGGATAGGTAATTAGATACCAAAATAATCACGTTTCCTTTTCTGTTCTCTTATTCCCTTGATGATATTTGTCTTCTTATTATTACCTTTTTAATTAGAAAAGCACTCAAGTAATAGGTATGTCTACATAGAAAAGTTTTGTCTTGTCACATGGTACCATGCTTTGTCAGTAGAGGAGGGAAAACCTCCCTGTCATTCTATCACTGCTCTTAAAAAATAAAGTAGAGAAGGGAAAGCATGTTTTCTTACAAGTGATCATCTATATTGAAATGATTTTTGCAAGGTCTTTCATTGCCAAAACTGGGATTTTTTTGTTGTGATGCAGTTTAGATTGTACACAACCTGACCCAATTCAAAATTGGGTTAGGTTTAGGATTAGGGTTGGAAAAGCCAACAGGTTATTCTTATTTATTTTTCTGTTTATGATTGCGGCTATATTATTTTGATATGTATATGCTTGTGTATGGTGAAAAGATGTGCATGTAATATTTGCTTATACAACATATGCATTTGCATGTTTCTAGGTGTGCACAAAAAATAAAAAGGGTAAATTGCTAAAGTCTTCCCTGAAGTTTCTAGTTGTTGTTGAAACCTCCCCCGAACTTTCTGACATAGTTCCATGTATACCCCTTTTGTTAGAATCCTCTAAAAAGAGGCATGAAAATGTCCAAAATATCCATGGGGTTACTTTTGATCAAAATGTTTATTTTCCAAATTTTCTCTTGATATAAATCACTAGCCCAAACCCTTCCAATCTCTTTTCTGAAATTGATTTGTTTTTCAAATTTTCCCTTTATATCAATCAGTCAAAGGTAAAGCTGCAACTTTAAATTCTCTCTTTTTCTGTTCTTTATAAAATTTGTATTATTTTTTCTGTAGAAACCAGCCTTAATAGTTGGGAGGTGATTACAATTACTAAACTTCAGGGGAGGTTTCAGCAACAGTCAAAAACTAAAAGGGAGGTTTCAGCAATTTACCCAAATAAAAATAACGTTTCTATATGTGTGTGTGTGTGTGTAGAATTTGGAACCTTAGGTTGATGTGTTAGTTGGGTTAGGATTAATGCTGAAAGTTGTCTTAAGGACAAGATCTTACTAGGTAATCAGATTATTCCGCCCAAGGTTCTATTGATATGTTTTGGTGCTCTTTTAGTCTTAGGTATGAGACTAGATTATCAATCCTGACATTATTGATGATGTCCGACCATATCACTAATATATTGCTTTTTATCACCTTCTTTAAGCCAATACAAAGCAATAAAGTCAAAATATTGATATGGTGCCAACCATATCAACAACTCTAAATAAGAAGAGAAGGGGGTGGGGAAGAATAAGGGAAGAAAGGGTAGAAAGATACCTAATTTGATTGTGCATTGTCGCAGTAGGCTTTTGCTTTTTTCCTTCTTCATGGTTCCTTTATGAAAAATGTTGAGCCTTAACTGTTTTGGATTTTGGGCTTCCTAAAACTTGATAATCAATATAAGAAGCATACTTGGTGTAGTGTAACAGTACGTATTTGTGGTTCTGCAAACCTATGGCTTTGTATCTATTACATGTTTATACCATTTTTAAATACTATTATTATGGGTCCAACTTGAATGCCTATTTGGTCAAAACTTCAGCATGACGAGACAAGTTTAAGCCATCGTCAACTTATTGTTTCTAAAATTTATTTTTTGATCAATCATTTCTTAAATTTATATCCAACCAAAAATGTGTTCCGATGATGTATAAAATTGATTTTGGCATGTTATCAAATGTTAGACAGCCACATGACCAATAGTGTGACCACACCACAATCATTTCTTAAGTACAAAGGCTACTGGTAAGGATGCAGATAATGATAAACAAAGAAATTTAATATTGTTATTTGGCAAATACTAATGTATTAATTGACAACGATAATAGGTACTTATAGGAAAATAATTATATTCCCATCAAGGTTACATTTATGCTCCGTACAGCAATTCTTGGGAAGTGCCTATCGCTCGCTACACAGCACGCTGGAAGGGTCATGCTTTTATCTGTTCTATCCTTTAGGCACATATTTTGGACATTTTTGGAGTATGATGAATCTTCTCATCCTTTATTTTATTAGTTTTTTCTTATTCGTAGATCAGGGGTTTTAGCAAGAGAGGAAGGCACCTTGGGGAGAATTTCTTTTTGCTGTTATGCGATTGATTTGAGAAAAAAAAACTGAATGTATTGGCTTTGAGAACTAAAGCTATACCCAGAAACACCTCTTAGGAAAGCAATAGGAACATCTTGATCATGGCTAGCTGTATGCAAAGGATTCAGGGAAATCGCTTACTCTGATTTCTTTAATTTTAAAAAGTTGAACAATATAGATAGCTCTGACATAATGCTTTTTGGTCCGTTTTTGAGTTCCCAATTTGAGCTCCTTGTTTTATGTGGGCTAATGTACACAGCCTTACACTTTTCAATGAAATACGTTATACTTCTTCAAGATAAATTATAAGAAAACAAATTAATCTGTCTTATATCTATAAAAAATCAAATTACTCATAAAAGCATTGTAACTCCTTTGACTTGAAAAAAATAGAATATTTTTCTATATTTGTTATTACCTTATTTATCATCAGCGTCATCATCATCCAAGCCTTATCTGAATTGTATGGGGTTGGCTACATAAATCCTGCTTTGCCATTTCGTTCCGTTTAATGTCATATCCATTGTTAAATTAGGAAGTGCATAAATCATTTATTTCTACTTCGATCCATGACCTTTCTGGTCTACGCCTTGCCCTTCTAGCCCCTTCAACTTGCAACATATCACTTCTTATGGGTGTGGTCAATGGTGTTCTATGCATATGACAAAACCATCTTAGTCTACTTTCATTTTATCACCTATTGGAGCTACTCCTAGGTTCCTTCAGATGTCTTCGCTTATAACCCTATCATTTCTTGTTTTTCCAGTTATCCATCTGAACATATGCATTTCTCCCACACTTTGTTTTTTGGAATGTTGTTTCTTGACTGCCCAACACTCTTCTCCATACAGCATAGCTGGCCTGGCCTTACAACTGTTTGTGTTATTTGCCTATCACATAAGACTCCGGATGCAGCCCTCCGTTTAGCCCATTCTGCTCTAATTCTATCGGCAACATCCTTTTCAATCTATCCCTTGTTGTGATACTTTTCTCATATTGTAAAAAGAAAACTTTATTATTAGATTATGTGCTTATAACATTTACAACTATTTCCTAATTTTGTTCATGTGTTTCAATTTTTTATTGTTCCCAACTGTATCCCATATGCATCCTGATATGTCTCTTAAATTTGCCTTTCCTATAGCTTTTTTTTTTTTTAATATTCTGATTTGCATTTGGATACTAATATTTTGAACCTTCATTGCACCCATGACCTGGTCTCTTTTATGGGTATGGGAGCCCCTAGATATGTAAAATTCCAAAAAAATCCAGTATAACTTTCATAACCCAGATGGCTATTTTAACAACCAGGTAAGTTTATAAAATCCTGACAGGTTTTTTTATCAAACAGATTGTTACCTAATTAAATTGTTTCTTACCAAGTAAACTGTTGCTTAACTAAGCTCTCTTTTTGTTACATTATTACCCAAAAAGTGTATTTAACAGAACAGAATGGTGGAAAAGGTTTCATGTATCCAGCCCCATATAGATGGGACAAGGGTTAGATGATGATGATAGATCTTGTCTTTCCTTGAGGCTGGAACTAATCTTTAAGTTTGAATTGTGGCTGTATATGGGAATTTAATATATAGACCTGCTTGTTTTAAATCTGCCGTAAATATTATTAGGTGTGAAACCTGCCTAATTTTTTCATACATGTCTATATGCAGCATATCGGGATCCATTACTTTTGGCTGCATATCTTGTTTAAACTATGTCTACTTTCATTTTATTATTTTTATTTTGCAATGAAAATAGGAAAAGAAAAGATGTGAACCCACAACAGATTTGTTCCTGCAAAGGCCATGTCTATGTGCAGCATAACAGGACCCATAACTTTTGGCTGCATGTCTTGTTTAATCCTTGTCTACTTTTGTTTTTTTGTTTTGTTTTGTTTTGTTTTTTTTTTATTTTGCAATGAAAATAGAAAAAAGTTGTGAACCCATAACAGATTTGTCCCTGCAAAGGCCATGTCTATGTGCAGCATATAAGGACCCATAACTTTTGGCTGCTTGTCTTGTTGAATCCTTGCCTACTTTATTTTATTTTTTGATTTTTCAATGAATATAGAAGAAAAAATATGTGAGCTCATAACAAATTTATTCCTGCCGAGGTTTGGTGAGATAACCAGATCACTGATTATCAGATTACTTGATCTCTATTTTGATTTTGAAATGTTTTATTTATTTATTTATTTTTTTGCAGCTGTTTTATGAATGACAAAAACTGTAAATTCATATCCGTTTAGCTTTTCCTTGCATGCTTTTTCTTTTGTTCAGTAATAAGGCCAATAAAATTTATAATAAATTGGCTACGCAGAAAGTACACAAGATATAAAATATGCAAACAGGGCAGAACTTCCAAGATTGTTTAAGAAATTGCTTCTTCATACACCCTTAAGCAGTTCTGCAAGGAGGTAGCATGCGAGTTGGAAGCTGGAATCCAATGCTTGTCCAAGAATCTGATTTAATTAAAAAATTGGACTTGAGGATATGTTTACAGACAAGTACATACTATATTAAGATGTTTTTTTTTTTTTTTTGTATTTTGATGTTGTTTACTTATAAAAGAGGAAAATGTTAATAGAAGCTTGGAGGAAAAAGGAAAATTTTACATGGTGCCTCAATAGTGCATGGTGTCAGAATCTGAAGCATGTCTGATATGGCATTTCATCTATGTAGAAGAGAAGAGTGCTATAAGAAGCTAAGCAAAGCTTAGCTTTAAAATAGTATCACTCCCCTTGTTAATTAATCAGTTAAGTCATTAGCTGATCTCCTAAACCAATAGAATGAATCTGATAGAAATGTGAAAAAGTATTTTTTGTCTTTATCTTTGTTCTTGAAACCTTTTTATCATAACAGGAAAATGCTTACTGTTTTTCGCCATAGTTTTACTTGTACATTTTATTTATTTAGTAGATCTGTTTGGTAGGGGCCATTACTTGGTGTAATGGCAAAATCTCAGTCTGGAAATTGTGAGAATGTGGGTTTGAGTCTGAGGGGGCGGCCACTTTGTGTGGACAAAAATGCAAAAGTTTAGGACCGTGCCCACCCCTCCCAAGACCCCAGATAGTTGGGAACAACATTGGGTAATGCCCTTTTATGCATTTGGGACATTTTAGTCTGCCTAGATATTGTTAACACGGGTTATAGTTTTTTTTATGCAATTCTTTGTTGCATATGTTTTATCTATGTTTGAATTTGTGTTATTTTGACACTTTTTGTTTTCTTTGTAAGCCATTTCTTCTATCAATTAAATTTTACTTTTTTATATCATAGAAAATCTAAAATTGAAGCACTTCCTGTTACATGTTTTATTCACTTATTCAATGGTGGCTATTTTACATCAGTTATTTAACTCGGAGTTCTTGTATAAGCAGTGGATGGTGAATGGAGAAGTTTGTATTGGACTCTTTGCTTTGAGGGATATTAAGAAGGTAATGTTTCAACTTCACATTGTTATCTCTATATCTTTTATTCAAATTGGTATCTGCTTGCCTACATTTATTTTTTATGTGGTTAGATTTTCTATGATTTTAAATTGCTTGAAGTGTAAGGCCTGCAATAGCTGATAAATTGTCTTTTAAGCATTATCCTGTGTGAGCATGATCACCAAAAGGTATTGCATCCCTAGTGTTTACCTCAATTCAGGGATAGGGGAATTCTCTTGAAAATGATTCTATTGACCCGCAATTAGATTTGATCAAATCTGGCATATATACTAGGGCACTTTCAGTGCAACTTGGGCTGGGTGGGGTTGGTTGGTTGGGGCTGTTGGGCTAAGGTCAACCTTCTCCCAAGTGAAAGGCGGAGGTCGTTACTCCTAAATCAAGGTAAAACTGAAGAACCAGTCTTAACCCAAGTCAATTTACAAATATGTAACCTTAGTTTGGACCAACCAACTTGATTCAAAATAAGAGTTTGGCAAAATTTTTAGTGCTGGCTGTCAACCTGACCTGACACAACCTCCTTTATCCGATCTAATATCTGGTGGTGTAAGGCAAGCTCACATTGGTGGAGTTAACTTGATTTAACTTAATAAACATGTGAAATTGGTTTCTTGGTTTTTTGAATTTGTTTACTGAAGAACCTAGGTTATTGAGGTTCATGTTCTTTGGGCTGAAGAAAGATGCAGAGGAGATGGCTTTTTAATGTGAAATGGGCAATCTAAGAGCACTGTGGGGAGGGGTGCAGGCTGAAGAGGAAAAGCTAAAGCATGATGTGTTGTTTTTGAGCAGAGGAAAATCTCTCTAGTTGTCTTCCAACTGTGTTTAGTGGTGTCTGGGGCTTTTGTTTTCTGATCTTCAAGTTCTTTTGTCCAGCAGTGGCAGTATAGTTTTGGGCTGCAGGGTTGGTTTCTTTTTGGTTGCCATTTCCTGCCTCTTTGTATGTTCTTTATTTATTTAATAACTTATGTTTTTTCCTTTTTTGAGAAAGATAAGGTATTGGTCTTATATTGAAAAACTATAAAGATCAAAACAACATCAGCCCATGTAAAAAGAGGACCTGTACAACGGGAATAAACAGAACCAAGAAATCAACCAAAAGAAGGTCCAGCATGCAAAAAAAGAAATGGGCTGGACACCCTGAAATATATTTCGTACACCCAGCCAAGAACAAAGTAAACCTATAAGAAAATTTCTGACTTCCTCCAAAAACTTTTGCTTTACCATCCAAAAAGCCTAGGAAAAAGAAAATGTCCCATTTTCATTCAAGTCAAAATCTAATTCATCACTGTTTATAGCAATCTACAGATCCTAATGATAACATGCTGTCCCACCTAAAAAATGAGTTTGGATCTTCCACTACATCACAAATGTTCTCCTGAGACACAGCCACATGAGTGGATACAGTGCTTCTGTGATTTCATCCAATATTAACATAGACTTGCAAATGATAGAGGAATTGGATGTGGTATGTCTTTTGGAGACATAACCAGACCTGTTGCAGTGCAGTCAGCAATTAAGAGTTTATATACTCTTTCATCTTCCTTCCCCATCCAAGTCAAACTTATTTGGTCCCTTATGTGTCACATATTGGTTATAGACTTTTCATGTCAAGGAAGAGGAACTCCATTAGTTGGAGCAATGAGGTCCCAAATCTGAATCAGTGCTTGGTGAAGTTCTTCATAGGAGAAGTCCATTTTGGTTTTTATCTTCTCATTTTTTTTTTATGTAAAGCAAGTTTGAACGCTTTTTTCTCTGACAAAAAAGCGAGGGAAGATCTTCTGTAGGTGTACTAGAGTGGTAGTTTTGTGGACAGTTTCTAAAGAAAGAAATGCTAGAATATTCAAGGAAGAATCCCTTACCAAAGAAGCTTTGGTTGAGAATATCTTGGTAAAGGTGGTTCATAAGTTCATTTGGTAAAATCCTTAAGCCTCTTAAGCTCTTTCTCAATGAATGATATCCTTGTGTGGAAATGGATAACATCTTCTTCATTGTCAAGAAGTACTGTGCCAATTAACTGGTTTCCTCCAACACAAAACTACATGAAATTAAATTTTGATGGTTGTAGTATGGGTAATCCAGGTAGCTGATGTATTGGAGTATTTACAAATAATCATGGAGTTACCTTGGCTAGTTTCTTTGGACCTATTGGCCAAGGTGTCTCAAAAGTTGTCAAATAGTATAGCTGATGCATTGGCAAAGTTAGGGGTAAATAGGAATTAACGCTTTTGGGTTGAAATGTAATGGTTTATTAAAAGAGGGGTAGGTGGAGTAATAATTAGATGGCTCAAGAACAATAACTTAATAACTTGGGAGCATAACTGCAGTCTAGGTAATCCATGGTTGTCAGGTGTTGGAGGAGTGCTAAGGAGCAGTGATGTGAGCATAATTGCTAGTTTTCAGGTCCAATTGGCATAGGAGACTCAACAAGGGCAGAACTACTGGTCGCGTTAACAATGATCCAAAAAATAAAATCTGTAAACTACATCAGTGTCATTATTGAAGGAGATTCCAAGGTAGTCACCAGTTGGTTGGGAATAATCAGGAAGGTCTGTGGAAACATAGACACATCACCGGGGAAATCAGAGAGCTCATGCAGAAAATGTGTATAAACGCTAAGTGGGTGCCTAGGCAGCAAACATTTTAGCAAATGGGCTGGCTAAACAAGGAGCAACAATAGACAATCTGTTTTGGGGTTTGGTATGTAAGGGATTCTGTTTGTTGTACTTTATATGTATTCTGAAGTTGATAGCTGAGGCTATCTACCTTTTCAAGACACTGCTGTACTCATCTTTTGACTTTAATAAATATATTGTTTGTTACTGATTAAAAAGACTTGGGAGCATGGACCTGCATTGAGAGAAGAAGTATTCCTGGCTAGGGATTTGGGAATTGGGCATCTTTTATATTGGACCTATCACCTATGGTAGCAGTCAAGGCAATCTGGGTCCATCTGGCATAGGAGGAGTTTTTAGCAAGGAGGAGGAAAACATCATTGGACTCTACTCAGGTCTAATTGGAGTTGGGGACTCGTTCAGAACTGAAATTATGGTTGTTATGGAAGGGATTCAAAAGGCTAAAGAGCTAAATATCAGGAAGTTGTTAACTGAAGGTGACTCTGAGCCTGTAATTAGCTGGCTCCAGCAAGAGGAGGAAGATGGATCGTGATGCTACATTTTGTGAAGAGGAAAGCTGTTAAATTGCCACAAGGGGTAGAGGCGACTTGTAATTGGGTGGGAAGGAATAATTTGTTTTGGGCCATATTGTGATTTTTCTGTTGGGGAGGGCTAAGAATGTTTATCCCTCCCGTTTCTTATTGTACTAAAATTCCTCTTTTTTAGTGAAATTGATTCTGTTATTGATAAAAAAGGATCTTTTATATTGGAAAAGATATGGATTGACTAGAGATAAGTTGTATTGGGGGGTTGCCAGTTGGGGGTTATGTAACAAGTGCTGGCCTAAACTTCCAAAAGAGGGTTCTTGGCACATCTCTGACTTTGTATACTCCCATTCTTTTCTCATAATGTAATAAATTTTAGGGTTGACAATAAATATTCTGTCACTTGGTTCTTGATTTCAATCTATCATAGTTTGGGATGTGTATATGCATTTTAGAGATTGGTTGGAGTGAACTTGATTACTAGTAGCATTAGGACTTCTGTGTTTGTTGAAATATTTTATATAGCCTTTTGTCCATTCTGATAAGCTACAAATTTCACTTGTTTTTTTTTTTAATTTTATTAATGTTGAATTACTGATATGCTAAGGCTTGGGGATTTTATTTGTTCAGGGTGAAGAAATAACATTCGACTACAATTATGTACGTGTATTTGGGGCTGCTGCGAAAAAATGTTATTGTGGTGCTTCTGACTGCCAGGGTTATATTGGTGGTGATCCATCAAATACAGATCTAATTGTTCAGGGTGATTCAGATGAAGAATATCCAGAACCTATAATGATTGATGAACATGGTTATAACACTGACGACAATGATGAGATAGGTTCTTCTACTATTAACAGAGATAGTGAAGCAGTACAAAATGCAGAGGTTTCTCTGAAAACTAGAGATACACTTAATCGAGCTGCATCTCCCATTGGACAGTTGGAGCTTTCTTTAGATAACAAGAACACTACTGGCAAATCTTCCTCTGCTGTTCAATCTTCAAAAGTTTCTTTGGCAATGGAAGACAATACAGGGAAGTTCTTATCTACTGTCAGACCATTAGAAGTCTCCTTACAAACAAAGAGCACCATGGACAAATCTTCATCTCCTGTTCAATTGTTAGAGGTTTCTTTAGAAAAAGGAGAGGCAATGAACAAATCAGCATGTTCTCAAACATTAGACACATGTTATTCAGCTGCAAGCACAGAAAAGAAATTTATTCCTGATTCTATTGATGATAACAAGTCCAGATGTGATGCAGTTGAATATAAGAGAAACTTGTCAAAGTTACATCCCATGAAATCATCTCGACCATCTAGTTCAATCAAGAACAAGAATAATGCTTCTCCTATGATCACTACCAAACCTCAAGTGGTGGGCAACAAACCTAAAAAGTTGCTGGGAACTGCTACAAGTGGTCGTTTCGAAGGGGGTAAGTATTCTCTAATGTAATTGGACTGGCTTGTTTCATACCTTTACTATATTACTGAGATATTCCTTGGTTTCTTGCAGTTGAAGAGAAACTTAATGAGTTGCTTGATGCTGAAGGTGGAATAAGTAAACGCAAAGTAAGTATTATTGTGTCTCATTTTCTTTAAATTGGAGGTCCTTTGCTTTAAGCAGTTGGTAGTCTATTTCTTATAGGCAATGATGCAATTGTTTCTTTTTAACATTTGAAGCCTTTTTAGTAGGGGTGATCATGGGCCTGGGCGGGGCTTTGGGTTTACGAGTCTATGACTAATTATAAAATGTTATATGTAAAATATTTTGTCACATATATAATATTAGTATAAAATTTCTATTATACTTTACATAATATAAAATGTTATATATAATATATAAAATATACAATATATATCAAGGGCTGGGCTGGAAATGATCACCTCTACGTTTTGTTATAAGAATACATTTTTTTTCAGATTTCTTGTCTTTGTTTATCTTTACCTTTCAGATTGATTTTTTTCCCTTTCTAATGGAGGTGAGCATTATATTCATCTGTCATTGAATTTACATGAGAAATCTGAATGTATCGGAATTTTTGCTATTCTTACATAAATGAAGAATATACCATACATAAGATGATAGGGGGTGATGTTTCCTGAGGGAGTGGAGAAAGGATATAAGAATTAAATAAATTAATACTCAGAAGAATGCATTACCTCATTCACATTTACTGCAGTTCTCTTATTGAGTATAACTTCACTGTGGGTGTTATTTGTAATAATATTCTTTTAATCAGCAACTTTTAATAATTTTTCTGGGCATTCAGTCAATTGAAGTGCTCAGGTAGAGCATTTTCTCGAAAATAGCCAATGATGCAATATTTTCTGTCTTTGACTCTTCTATCTGTGTTCCATGTATATGATTAACGTTGTCTCTACGGCATTTACTCATCAACAGGATGCCACTAAAGGCTACTTGAAGCTTTTATTTGTAACTGCAGCTGCTGGAGATAGCAGTAATGGTGAAGCATTTCAGAGGTTGTTACAATCTTGAAGCTCTTAAAGAAATCCTTTACAATAAATTCTCCTTTTTTAGATGTGCATGTATTGATTATTTGTCTTTATTTGTCCCTACTGTCTAAAAATTTTGTTGCCCCCCCCTCTCCCTTTTCTCTTGCAGTACTCGAGATCTTTCAATGATTCTTGATGCTCTCTTGAAAACAAAATCAAGGACAGTTTTGACTGATATAATCAACAAAAATGGTACTGCTACCTATTTTATTGCATAGCATGTTTCCCTGTTTCCAAGGAAGAAGTTACTTTAGTGTGATTGCATGTGTATTGATGGAGATATTGTTACATTTTGGCTCTTCCAGGTTTGCAGATGTTACACAACATAATGAAGCAGAACCGAAAGGACTTCAGCAAAATTCCTATTCTCCGAAAGCTTCTCAAGGTAGCAAACTGCTACCTTATAATTCTTCTTTGGAAGAGTGCAATTTTATGCTGCTAATTCATACTGATATAATTTGTGCATCCTAGGATTGAACCTCACTCTTCTAGGAAGGGCAAAGAAGTATACCCACATGAATTCTGCTGAATATGTGCAATACTTTGTACCTTTTGCACATGAAACCTAAACTTGTTAAGTTAAAACCTCTAGACTACAGGTGTTCCCTAATTTTTGGATCAGTAACTAACTAAAAGAGTTGGGATGAAGAAAAGGGCCTCTAAGTATAGTGGCAGGAAAAAGGTGCAATCAACTTTCCAAATCACCTTGCAAATGTTGTTCACCCAAAACTATCTCTCTCAATCCACTATTATATACTGATACATAAATATATACATATATGTCTACATATGTATGCATATATGTGTGGATGTTTGTAAATATTTTTTTTTTGTTTTTGTTTTTGCAGGTGTTGGAATATCTTGCACTAAGGGAAATTCTTTCCTTGGAACACATCAATAGGGATCCTCCCCATCCTGGAATGGAAAGGTCAGACGAACTGTACAGTTGTCACCTATTTCTCTTTCCATTGCCATTTTCTTATAATTAGCATAAATCACCCAGAAATAATACTGTTCAATGTTATCAATACTGGCTGGATGCCGACCCTTTTGAGAGGATGGTTGAGTCCAACTTAGTTTTATAACACTGTGATCTGGTTGGTGTGATGACTTAAGCAATGTTTAAGGTTATATATATATATATATATATATATATACAGCTCATCCTTCCTCCCTAGGTAAATCATATCATAGGACCCTTTCTACTCTGCTTATATGATATTATGTCTTTTTCATTCAAAACACTTACCCACCACCTGAAAGACCCAAACCCTAATCGATCTCCATATGCTGCCTTGATTTTTTTCTGTTTGTGTCTGTGTGAATGGAGTGTTCTTGTATATATGAGAAGAAGATGTAGAAAAGAAAAGCATAACTGATGTCTGATTTTTCTAATTCCTCTTTGTAAACAAACAAGAAAATTGAAAAATCATTTTCTGTCTTTTAAAAATCCTTTCCACATTTACAAAAAATTCACATTTTTTTCTTTAATGTGATTCAACCATTTGCATTTGATTGGCTGTTCTAAAAAGGATAAGTGGTTTTGTATTGAAAAACAAAAGATGGTTTAAACAGTTGCTTCCAGTTTTTATAAGACTTCAGTTTAATTAATGAATCAAAGCAATGGTATATCCATTTATAATGTAACCATTCAGTTGGGTCCGGCTTTTAAAATACTGATAATGTTTTCTTGTTGCTAGCTTCTGATTAGTGGGATATTTCAATGTCCATCTTCCTACAATGTGCAATATGATGATGATATTGGCAGCATCTCATGAGAGACAGAATGGTTTTGAGAAAAAAAAGTATATAGTTCTAAAGAATAATATCATAATGGGTATATAAAAGAAGTAGATGACAGGTAAAGGGGTGCTAGTCAATACATACCGAGTGGGATAACTCGAGGTTGGATAGTTGAAAAAGAAAAAAGAAAGGAAGTCAGTATCAATATATGACTTAGGATTTAGAAGAGGATTGAGAAATTTTGAGTCCATTGAAGCTATTAACTTAATTGACATTCTTGATGGGGCATTCCTTGATTCCTCTAAATCTGATTGCAGAATTTGGATTCTTAACTCTTTTGGATTGTTATTTGTGCTTCATTTTTAATGCGCCATCTTCCTACCCAACTCCTCATAGGCTTTTCTGGCTAAGGAAATTTGGTGTAGGCCAATACCACCTAAAATTAGGGTTTCTGTTGGGCGGTAATGCTTTTGAAAATCAATAAATTTGAAACCCTTTAGAAGAGGAAACCTTTTTAGTGCTTCTCTCTACATGTTTGTTTTCTTTGCAATGCAAGCTGGGAAAATACCTACCATCTATTAATCTCCTGCCCATTTGTCTCCACCATTTGGGATTGGTTCTTAATTGTTTGGTTGCAGGTAGACTCTCCTTTGAGGTGGAGAGCTTATTTTAGATCCTCCTTCATTGTGCATATGAAGATAGGCAAGATTCTGTTGAGATGCACACTGATAGAGGTTTTATGGTCAATATGGGAAGTGAGGAATTCGAGAATTTTTTATGGAAAGCTATGGAGAAGCCAAGAAGGACGACATCCTGGAAGCATATCACTTAAAGTGGTGAATTGGGTAAAAAGACAGATGAGTTTGCTCTTCTCAACAAATGAAATCCTTAGGGGATGGCAGCACATGGCATTGTTTGGGCTAATCTCAACTCTCAAGCCATATAAGAGTGGCACCCAGCAACAAACAGTCACATCAAACTAAATTTCGGTGGTTGTAGTTTTGGCCATCCTGGATTATTAGGCATTGGAGTATTCAGAGACAGCCTTAGAACTATTTTAGCTTTACAGTCAGGTTCCATAGGGGCTGGGGACTCCACTGAAGCTTAAGTTTTAACAATATTACAAGGGCTGAGATTGGCTTGGATATGTGGTTTTAGTAACATATTGGTGGAAGGTGACTCAAGGGTAGTGGTGAACTGGCTTAGGAATGGAAGCCAGGCTTCATGGAAATATAAAAATGTATAGAGAACTAAGGTACTTGGGTAGGGACCTTGTCACCAACTACTCATAGGTGCAGTGATCAGCAAATGGGTTTGACTGTAACAATAGTCAAACAAGAGGTAAAAAGGGCTCAATTTTTATTGGGAACAATTGTAAGATAAGGCTTGAGAAGAAATTGGTAAGGGTTAGGCAGCTGATGCTATCCTATTTTAGAAGTTTTTAGCGGCTGCTGTTGTATATAAATCATTCTTTTATAGCAATTAATAAAAGTTCTAACTGTTACCAATAAAAATACAACTTATTTAGGTGTTGTGCGTCTTTATTGAATGATGGGTGCATTGATAGGTGACTGGTGATGGAACCATTTGTTTTTTTTTGTTTTTTTTTTTGATAGATAAATTTCATTCGTTACAAGCATCCCAAAATGAGGCGCGAGGTGCACCCTCACTCATTGATACAGAAACATCATAAATTTACAATTGGGCCCAATACAACTGTTCCCTAGTTACCCCTTGTTTAGCTAGAGAATCAGCAAAAGCATTTGCCTCCCTCCCCACCCACTGTATAGTTACTTCCATCGGCTGAGTTAACCATTTGAGTTTCTTCAATTCATTTCTGTAAGCCCAGATCACTGAATCTGGGTTTTTTAGCCAACCCACCACCACCTTGGAGTCCCCTTCTATCACCAAATTTTCCAATCCCAACTCTCTTGCAATCTGTACACCTTGTAGGGCTGCGTACAATTCTGCCTTTAAGGAGTCTCCATTCCCCACTGGTCCTGAGAAGAGTGCTCTTAAGTTTCTTCCTTGTCTCCGAAGACTCCTATTCCAGCTGGGCTGGAGTTGCCTTGACTACTCCCATCAAAGTTTAATTTCAGAAATACTTCAATGGGAGGAGCCCAAACCAACCATATGTTCCTCCCCCTGTTCATTTATTTTGCAGTCTGATGTCCATATTTGTGCATGAATTTGACAATGACATTGCAATTGTAACTGATGTCTCAATTTCATATGGTTGTTGAAGAATGTTAGTTCGTGAGAAATGAAGAGACAAGAGGAAAGCCAATAGTCCAGATCTGTTAGGGTTGATCAATCTGATTGAACCAACCCAAAAAGAGTATTTATGTTAAAGAAATATGAATGGACAAGTTTTTCCTTACAAGAGAATTAATGAAGCTGTACACTAATGTACATGCCTACCAAAATACAAGAAAGAAAAATAAAATTACATAACTACCCTGCATCTTCTCTACAGTCCCCCTAAAACTGATGTTGGGGGATAAGCATCAGTTTGTCTATAAGAAAATTATGTCGGGCTTTGGTTATAGCCAGTGTTTTAAAAGGTGTGGGAGGCGTACGCCTGGCGGCACCTCCAGGCAAGGTTTTCCCAAAACACCCTGAGGAGGCTTACGCCTCTTGCATTCTGAACTACGCCTCACACCTCTAGGTAGTGGAATGCCTCGTGTCATGCCTCCGCGTTTTAAATCATTGGTTATAACTTTGGTGAAGAGGTTTGCAAGCTGTAGGCCTGAGGAGACATGTGGGAGAGGGATGTGACCCGCAAGGAGAAGATCACAAATGAAGTGGATCCATCTCAATATGTTTAGTGCACTCATGAAATACTGGGTTGGGTGCAATCTTAGTCGCACTATGTTGTTAACAAACAGGGGGATGGCAGATGAGTGATCAATGTCCAAGTCATGAAGTAGAGCCTTGAGCCAGACTATTTCACTACATACTAAGGACATTGCTCTATACTCTGCTTCTGTAGATGACTTGGAAATAGTTTGTTGTTTCTTACATTTCCAAGAAATCAGAGAATCACCAAGAAATATATATCAGCTAGTAGTGGAACGACGAGTGTCAAGACAACCTGCCGAATCTGCATCTGCATAAGCTTGAAGCTGGGTGGAGGATGAAGATGAGAAAAACAAGCCATGAGATAGAGTGCCCTTGACATAATGGATGATTTAGAGAACTGCAGAGAAGTGGGGCTGACGTGGAGCGGATAAAAATTGATTCACAAGCTGGACCGCATAGGAAATGTTTGGTCTAGTCATACTTAGGTAGATAAGACAACCTACAAGTTGCCGATATAAAGTAGCATCGGGGAGAAGCTCACCCTCATCCTTGTTAGCTTACAGTTAAGCTCCAAAGGTGTATCCATTTGTTTAGAATCAGTTAGGCGAGCAAGTGTCACCAAATCAGAGGCATATTTCTGTTGGTTGACAAAATAACCTTGAGGACATCACTAAATTTCAAGCCCAAGAAAATGGGTGACATGCCCAAGATCCTTCATTTTGAAGGAGTTGCTGAGAAGGAGCTTCATGTTGTTAATGCCATCTACATCATCTCCGGTGATAAGTATATCATCAACATATACCAAGAGAAGAGTCAACCCTTGTGCTCGCTTGAGAGTGAAAAGAGAGTAATCTGAAGCACTTTGCTGAAAGCCAACCTCCAATACCACTGTACGGAAGTGGTCAAAACAAGCTCGTGGAGCTTGTTTAAGACCATATAAAGATTTCTTCAATTTACACACCATAAGAGGATCATCACAGTAGTTGGGAGGTGGTTTCATGTAAACTGCTTCTTGTAAATGCCCATGGAGAAAGGCATTCTTGGCATCCATCTGATGAACTGCCCATTGTATAATAGAAGTAATGCCCAAGAGTAAATGGACCGTTGTCATTTTAGCCACTAGAGCAAAGGTCTCATCATAGTCAATTCCATATTCTTGCTTGTAGCCTTGAGCAACTAAGCGAGCCTTATATTTGTCTAGAGTGCCATTTGATTTAAGTTTCGCTGTGTAAACCCATCGACGATAAATGATTGAGGCATCTTGGGGAGGAGTTACAAGCTCCCAGGTATCATTCTCTAATAAAGCTTGAACCTCTAAATCCATAGCATCTTTCCAATGCTTAACTGCTACAGCCTGGTTGTAAGACTTAGGAATATTTGTGGATGACAGAACAACTGGGAAGGAGCTATGGCTAGAAAAGAAGCCACAGCGACCAGGTGGATGAGAAACACAAGATGATGCAAAAAGGAACAAATGAAGTCAAATCAACAGGATGGGAAGAGGAACTTACAGTAGTGATGGATGGAGAGGAATGACCAGTCACTGGTGTTGGAGGTGGAGGAGGCATAGTCCATGGGTGAGCTGGATACTTCCTGAAATATACTTGAAGTGGCTGAGATGTGGGAGGAGGATCACCTGTAGAGTCAAAATGTTGTAGAACAAGAAAGGATGGTGCAGGCAATTTACTAGTATGTTCAAAGAATGAAAGGTTCTCAAGAAAAATGACATTATGAGAAATGTGCGGTCTTCGGACTTTGGGATCAAAACAGAGAAATCCCTTGTGTTCCATACTATATCCCATGAATGCGCACATAGCTAATTGAGTTGTTAGCTTAGTACGTTCATGAGGAGGAAAATGGATAAAACAAACACAACCGAAGACACGAAGCATGGATAGATTAGGTGGACGATGAAACAATGATTGATGGGGAGAAGAATTTTCAAGGATAGTAGTAGGGAGAATGTTGATGAGATGATGCCTCCACCCAGATGGTAATGGGAACGTGGGAGTCTTGTAACAATGATCTCACCATACTAGCAATGTGACAATTCTTGTGCCTGGATACCCCATTCCGTTGAGGTTTACCTATCTGGGCAAGATCTCTGGGACTGAATGCCTTGTTTAAGGTAGGTTTGAAACTCACCATTCTCACCATCAAAGTACTCTCCCCTTGAATCTGACCTCAAATTGTTTATAGTGCTTTTAAATTGGGTCATAATCATAGCATGAAAGTTCTTAAAAACAGGAAAGACCTGTGATTTCTTTCAGAGGAAGTAAATCCATGTATATCGAGTACAATCTGTAGAGATAGTTGTTAGTTGTTAGTGTGTGTGGTCCCATTACAAGTAATTGGTTCCATCGAACCTAACAGTAGTAATCTGAAAATAACTTTTGGTCATGCTTCCAGCCCCCAAAAAACCTTCCCCTTGAATCTTTAATTCACTTCCAGCCTTCTCCATTTTATATGAGATACTGACGGTCACTATTTCAAGAAGAAAAACCCTTGAACTCATCCTTTTATGCAGAAAGAACTTAGCTGATTGAAATCAGCCACCCGGAAATCATTTACAGGTTACTATAATTGTCCAGGAGTCAACTGCAGTCAAAGAACAAATCTGGGAGCAAGAATTGATCGTGGGGTTTTGAAAAATCCTAGAGGAACAGGGAAAACAGAGATCTGTCAAAAACCCTAAAGAAACAAGCAAGGGAGACTGAAATTTGTTAAGCACTGCTTCCAGAGTGGTTTAAACTGCTCTTATTTAAGATGGGTTTTAATAAAGAGAAGTTATTTTCTCAAAAGAAATTGATCGCCACCTTCAATCTCCAGTTTAAACCCTGAACTTGGACTTACATAATTTCTCTTATCCTTCCTGGTCACCGAGCACTCTCCAAAGGCCATGCAATCCCTTGGGCAGCAAATCAAGACTCCAGTAATCCTCCAAGAATCAGGCGATGATGCGGAACTTCCAGTCTTAGAAAATTCTCATGCAGCCGACTAGGTTCTTGAGGCTCTGATACCAACTTGGATAAATTAGACCTGAAATTGATTGTTTTATGGTATAGATTCAGTAGAAAAAGAAAAGAAAGGAAGGTCACGAACAGAAGAAAAGAGAGAAGAGAAGAAGAGAAGAAGAAAGAGAGAAAGAAAGGGTGTGGTTCAATTGATTCTGCCGCCCCACCTGATTAGTATTTATATATTGCATTGTTACTGTATTGAAGTTACATAAATACCCTTGCTGAAACAGAAATAAATATAAAACAATATATCTAGCCTAACTACCATAACTACAATGCAATAAATATATAAAAAGTATTAGTGGGACCACACACACACACTAACAACTAACAACTATCTCTACACAATCATCAATAAACAATACAAAATATTTATAAACCAAACATGAAATAACTGGAGACATCTACACATTACTGTGAATAAGGTAAAAAGGTGTAGAAGCATGTTCAGTAGAAGATGGAAAAGGCAAAACATGGCTTTTACTGTAGCCAGCAAGTTAAACATGATTTATCAACATTCTTAAAAAAGTAACAGTCATAGGCAAACAACCAGAAGAAAATAAATTATTCAAGTCTTTAGCATGAGTGTGACCCAAACATCTATGCCATAAGTGCCACACATTATTACAAGAGGTAGGAGAAAAACTAGAAGTAGTAGATAGCAAACAAGAGTCTGGTGAAGTTTTCTTATTCTTAAATTCCAAAGAAAACAATCTTCCAAGCCTATGCCCCTTCCCCTTCAATTTCTAGTGTGTTGGTCCTAGATAAAACAACCATCACGAGTAAACAAAACATTATTACCATCATCAAGTTGTCCAATAGAAATAAGGCTAGTAGTCAACTTAGACACAGAATGTTTTGAGAAGATGTAAGGCTGTAGACTTAGAAGTGGATAGAAATAAATCATCACACCCACATATAGGAAAAGAGTCACCATTGGCAGTAATAATGTGGTTAACAGAGATGTAAGGTTTAGAAGACTGACCAAAGGAGGCCCCAGTCATATGGTTTGAGGCCCCAGAGTCAATGATCCACATGTGTATTGAAGGAGAAGAACACAAATAAGCAGACTTACCAGCCAGTCCAATAGCAGTAAAATTAGAGGAAATAGCCGAAGACATGAGCTCACGAATCTTATCTTCAGTCAAATTTCCCAGTGCATCAGTTTTGTGAGCTAATAAGGAGGCAGTATCAGTTGGAGTCGGTTCAGCTGAGGCTTGATAAGCCTTATGTTGTCCTTTCTTGGGGGGCCTGACTGGGCATTCCACAATAATATATCCTTACTATTTGCAGTAGGTGCAGAAATTTTTCTTTTTGCAGTGGGATGCCACGTGTCTGTATTCCCTGCATTCATAACATTGCATTTTTGAAAAATCCTTCTTCCCCTTCTGTTTGGTAGCCAAGAAGACAGTATCTATTCCATTTTCCTTCTTCTGATCAAGTGCAAATTGAGTGAGGAGACGAGATTCCTCTCTTAATAACTCACCAAGTATTATATCAAGACCAGGTACATGCTCTCTACTGAGTATATTAGAGCATAGATTCTCATAATCAGATCTAAGATGCATAAAAAAATGCAGCCTTTCTCTTACTGAGATGTTTCTTCATAATTTTCACACTACAGTCCGTAGAAAGATCCCCAAAGTGAGCCAATTCATATTCAATCCAAAGGTTCATAAACCCAACATAGTATTCCTGATCCGTTTCGCCCCAAGACATATTCAATTGCTGATACACCTTTTCAAGGTATTCAACATGTCATGGGCAGATTTGAGTCCTCTCATTGGAATACTGTCATTCATAGTTACAGAACCAAGAATCCACGAAACAATGTGTGCATTCTCAATTTTCCACTGTTTCAGCCCTTTGATATCATCGGCATCGGGTATAGATGTGGAACCATCAATATAACCCCACATACCCTTCCCTTCAATAAAATACTGAAAGTGAAATTTAGAGAGCGTAGATGCTTCCATCGAACTTAACAGAAATAATTTCATTCTTTTCCAGACCCATGTCGAGTAAGAACACAAAGCAAAAACTAGTTGAAACAAGCAATATAAGCAGAGAACAAATCCAAGAGAGTCAAAAACTAAGATAAGAAACCTCTTACAGTCGAAAGAGAGTGGCCAAGATACAACAATAGTTGAAATCTGAGAACACAGTCCAAAAAAGGAAAGACTGGTTGCTGCTGCCCAAAAGAGATGTATAGATCTCTCTCAATATTTCTCTAATCTCGATGAAACTTTCAGAGGATGGTGAGGAGGGCCAAGCGGCACTTCCTTTCAATTTTCATTGCAAACGGATGTCTTCCGAGAGAGATCCAATGAAATCTCTCTTGCTGGATGCGCAAAACACAGAAAACTGGTTCCTGGAATGATCAGAACAGTCCAGAACCAATTGATGATGAGGATAGTTCTCAAACAGATTAGAAAAGGAGTACTGGATCAAAGAACAGCCTGCTCTGATACCATGTTAGTTCATGGGAAAGTGAAGAGAAAAGAGGAAATCCAATAGTCCAGATCTGTTATGGTTGATCAATCCGATTGAACCAACCCAAAAAGAAAGTATTAAAATTAAAGAAATATGAATGGACAAGTTTGTCTTTACAAAAGAATTAAAGTTGTACACTAATGTACACACCTACTAAACTACAAGAAAGAAAGATAAAATTACATAACTACCCTCCTTCTCTACAAGAATTCTCAAGGATAGTGGAAAGAATTTATATTCTTGTCATGGAATGTCAACTATAAATCTGTACGCAAGTTGATCTTGTAGGGCTGATTCCTTTCTTTTCTGAGAAAACAAAATATGAAATCTTTTCTACTTTGTTCTCATCTATTGTATTCATTGTGCAGCTTCAAGGATTCCATGCTTGACCTGACAAAGCACAATGATGTTCAGGTACTTATGCTCTGTTTACCTATGTACTTATTGAGAACTTTTGTGCAGATAAGATTGTACCTTTTGGATTCTTTTATTTCAGAATCTCTTTTATTTTTGTCTTATTGTGATGATGTTTTCTCTATATTTAGCAATGCTGCAATGAACCATGTTATTTATGATGTACATGTATTATCTTCTTTGTGAGACTACAGAAATTGCATCGTTGTTTGCTTCAACTTTCTGGATTTTTTTTATGAATTACAACTTTCTAGATTTCATGAAATGGAAATCAGAGTATTAGCAGCAGATTATTTGTTAGAGGTAGAAGAGAAAAGTCTTTGTGAAGAATGAAGAGATTCCAGGGGAAAATGGAATATTCCTTTCTCTTTTATTCAATATCAAGAAGAACAAAATAATAACTAAAATGACCCTGCTTCAGTGTAGTATAAACACTTTGTTAATCAAGGTTTAAAATGTCAGTGTTAGTGGTAATATCTGTAATCAAAATATAAGAAGCGTGTTGGAAACATAGTTGTCAAGGCTACAAGGCACCCTAGGAGGCTCACCTCACCTAATCACCAAGCAGTTTTGTATAGCATGTTATAAAAAACTTTTATGTTCTTAATTTTTTGAGGTTATAATTATAAAATAGACATTTTTAAACTAAAATATTCATTTTGTGTGTTTATACACTAATTTCTCTTTATTATTTTCTTATTTGTTAGGTTTAATCAACACAAACATATCTAAATGCTGTATTGAACCCGCTAAGACTTCAAAACCTGAACCAATAAGTAAAGAAGAACATAAAATGTTATTTATCAAAAAAAAAAAAACATAAAATGTTGTCCAATTAGCACATTTTCTTCTTTTTCTTTACTAATTTTGTGTGTTCATGTACTAATTTCTTCTTCTTTTCTTTCTTCTTTTTCTTCTCATTAATTTGTTGGAATATGTTGATTTTCTATAATTTAACATGAAATGTACTAATTTCTTTTTCTTTACTAATTTTGTGTGTTTATGTACTAATTTCATCATTACATAAAATGTACTAATTTTATGTAATGATGAAAGAAGCATATATACACCCTTTTAAATTATTATCTTGTTTAAAACCATCAAACAGAGCCAAGTAACTAAAGTTAATAGACAAATAGACAAATAATTCACTACAAAGTTGTCTTGTAAACTTTAAGAATCAAAACTACATAATAGAGCGAGTCCAAGAAAAATTTGAACTCATAAAAAGTGCAAGAACAATTCATAAGCACCATGTCCCATTATTTTGTGCTCTGCCTTAACACTTGAATTGGGCACTTAAGACAGCTTCTTCTCCAAGTAACAAGGTTACCCTCAATCCAAAACAATCTGCATCTATCTATGCCTTAACTCATATGCCCATTTATCTTGAATATTAAGCATTTGTTTGGTAAGAGAGATATAAGCTTCCGAACTAGCATCTGAAACCTACCCACATTAGAGGTTGGTCTACCACTCTAACTATCCATCCTCAAGTTATGTTACATAGGTGTATTGATAAATTTAGAAGTTTCTGTTTTACCCACTGGAGAAGCTGGTAATCGGGCATGTTGTGAGGATTATTTAATTGTTATTTTATAGTTGCTGTTAGTGGGTTGTTAGCTTAAGATGCTGTTAGTCAGTTAGTTTCTCTCTTTCTTATTAGTTTGTTTCTAGGGAGTGCCACCAGGGGCATACTTGTAATCTCCCATTCCTTTTATATTAAGTTAATATAAATAACTAAACTTGCGGCAGCCAGAAGTAGTTGGTTTTTTTGTCTTTCAATCATATCTTCCTCTTCTTCTCTTTCTCTCTCTCGTCTCTCTCTCTCCATGAATGATTACATAGTATCAGAGCCAGGTCCTGGGCTATAAAAAAAATTGCTTTCTCCCATTTGAACCTGCTGCATCCTCTTTTCTTTTTTGATTTCTTGGACGTGCAAGACAGAGAAACCCTAGCAGACTACTTGCGGCTCTTCCTTTGGGTTCTTCCTTGGTCGTAATATCAAGGAGACCCTAGTAGAAGAAGGGTGATGTAGAAAACTCCCTTTCTTATCTATTTGATGCTGTGAAGTTAGTTTCTGGTTGGCACCTTCGTATAGGTGCTGGACAAGGTATGTGTTCTTGTTTTTTTTTTGGTCAATGGTGTGAAGGCCTTATTTCTTGGTGTTATACCTTCATTTGGATGCTGGATTGTTAGATTGCATGGGCTGTAGTTGGACTGTTAGTATACTATTCTAATGGCTGGTGTTGGACTGATTACTGGGCTGTTTTAATGACTGAACCATCACTGAGTTGATTTCAGTAGTAAATTCCTTGAGGGTTGATATTCTGATTGTGGCTGTTGTGTAGTTGTGTGGGATTTGGTCTGATTCAGCAGTACTCTATGGCAAACTATGATTCAACTTCATCGGGGGTTACACCGACCCGCAACACAGCTGGTATGGGAAGTGAAAACATGATGTTTTCC